GGGTCGGCGGATTTCAATATGGGGTTTAAGAGTACAATATTGAAGCGTATTTCAATATGGGGTTCATGGATGGAAGATTGGGAGATTGAAAGATTGAAGTGTCTTTCCATCTGGAGGGCCAAGATTGAAACATTCACAACCTTTCAATCTGGAGGATCTGGACTGAAGTATTGAAAGACTTCCAGATTCTTCAATCCGGAGATCCAGGGTTTGAAACATTGAAAAGTTGAAATATCCGTTGAAGGTGAACCATTGTTCCTGTCGCCATGGTGTTTGTTGGTGACGTGGCAACGCAGAAGGCCAGAATGGCCATGCGGACCGCACCAGGGCTGTCTCCAAGTCCCCGTTCGTTCTCTTCCCCGTCCTCCCCCTCCTTGTTTTTCTCTTCTTCCTCCGCCTTTGACCCTGTCCACCTGCCCACGAGAGGGAGACATGCAAGGAAATGAAGAAAGAGAGAGAGAGAGAGAGAGAAGGAGAGGGAGAGAGAGAGGACACGAGGACAGGTGCAGGCGGGGGCAAAGCGGCGCTCTCACGCCACGTTCTAGTCATTGCGACAGCCCGAACCAATTTCGTCTCAAAGGACAGCGCACGCGGCGCCTCCTACCTCAAGCGCCGCAACCCCGGCAGAGCGGCACAGGACGACGCAGCGGCCCGCGCGGCGATCGGCGCGCCAAAAACGGAAGCATTCGCGGTGACCTGCCCAACCCACGACGACGTCGACGAAGCATTCGTGCCTCTCGGATCGAGGGCACTTGCCACATAGTGTCGGGGTCGGCCCCGATAGGGTACACGGCCGCGCTGCCGCGGTGGCAGCGTCGTGCGCGGGAGCGGCAGGGTGGGCTTTAGCCTCAAAGACGTCGAGCACTCCGCTAGGAGACAAGCCGCTCAGCAGCCCGAGTGCAGCGGCGCGTCACCTCTACCGTCTGGGCGGTCTCCACTTCGGAAGCTGCCTTGCGGTATCTTGGGCCCCCTTTCTGGGCCCTGGGCCATGTTTGGGCGATCTTTCGTTTCTATTGGTCCGTCCTGGGCGCTCCGAAAACCAAAAGAGCGCAAGAGCACTCCAGCAGGGCCCTCGTTCCTCGGGGCACCTTCGCGCATTGAACTACGCACGTAGCAGGGCACGGTCGTGGGAATTGAAAGATCGTTCGATCTTTCGTTTTAGTCTTTCAATCCAGATCCTCAGAAGCAAAAGATTTTTCGATTACTCAATTTTTGAATCCGGGGATCCTCCGCGTTGTGTGGGTCCGCCGCGGTTTCGCCTTTGTGCCCGCGCGAGGGCGCTTCGTGGGCGCTTCGTGGGCGCGCCGTGCGCCGGTTGGGTCCGCCCAGGTGCTGCCTGGTGCTCGGTCGGTGGTCGCCCGTGGACGCCTCGTGGGCCCCGCTCGGGGGTGGCCGCACCTGCAGCGCATAGCTTGCACCACACACGTTGCACCGCATAAGCTTGCACCTCATAGCGGTCACAACGCAGCTTGGACCCCATAGTTTGCACCACATAGTTTGCACCGCATTCGTTGCACCACATATCGTATACCACATGTATGTTACACCACATTGGCTTGCTCATCCACATTGCCATGGTTCACTGTCTGAGGCTCGCGCTGGTTAACACATGTAGTTCCTAGATCGTACTGCATGTGCGTCCAGCTTCCCCGAAGCAGCATCTGCATTCAAGGGCTCTCACTTGGCTTGCCAAGTAATTGGATGGGTTCGACTGGTTTTCGCCACGCTGCCCGCCCGTGCCGCCTAGTGGGTGCCTCGTGGGCGCCCCATCCGCTGTGTGGGTTCGCCGAGGTTGCGCCACGTTGCTGCCCGTGCCGCCTCGCAGGAATTTGATGGGCGCCCCGCGCGCTGGGTGGATCTGGGTGGATTCGCTGGGGACGCCCCATGTTGCCGCCTGTGCCGCCTGTTGCCTGATGGGCGCCCCTTGCGCTGGGTCGATTCGCCGAGGTTGCGCCACGTTGCCGCCTCGTGAGCGCCTCGTGGGCGCCCCGTGTGCTGGGTGGGTTATTGGAGTGTCGCCACGGCCGCCCGTGCCGCATTGTCGGCGCCTCGTGGGTGCCTCGTGCTATGAGCGTCCACAACAAAGCTTCAACCATATATGAATATAAACATACATATAAAAGTGGGCATAGTACACAGTGCATAGCTTACACACAATAGCCTACACACAATAGTGCAGTGTGCACTCATTCGTGATTACTTCCATCTCACACCGCATGGAGCACGCGACGACATTCATATCTACATGCATGCATGCATACATATATACATGCCTATATACATACAGACATACGTACTTACAGTCGTTAAACACATCCATACACATACAAGCGAGCAGCCACATATACGTACATGTGTAAGTGCATACGTACGTCCATACATACATACATACATACATACATACATACATACATACATACATACACACATACATACATACATACACACATACATAAAACCATACATGCATACATGCATGCATGCATGCATACATACATACAAACATACATCCATACACACATATGCATACACACGTGCACGCATGCATACATGCATACATATATATATATATATACACGCATATGGATGACCCTGCACAGGGTTATAGGTCATAGTGGTGATATCCATATTTCGGACTCCAACTACACAGTTTCAACGACATAACGTGAATCACGCAGCTTACCTCCCACAGCACAGTGCAATAACGCGCGGTTTGGGGCCCACTCTAGCTAACACACCTATGGTGGACATCCGCATGCCTACATGTCTGCTTAATGTAGGCATATATATATATATATATATATATATATATATATATATCTATATATATATATATATATAATCCTCGCTCTCTGTCTTTCTCGTTTCCATCACCCTTGCTCTCTCTCTCTCTGTTTCCCCCCTCTCTCTCTCTATATATATATATATATCCATATATCCCTACCTCCGCCCTCCTCTGCCTCCCAATCTTGCCCGCGATACCCAGCGCCGTGCCTTTCTGTGTTTTCCTCTGGTCGAATCCCTCGGCGAGGGTCCTGGGGCCCAAGAGGGTACCAGCGTGCCCATCCTCTCTCCACGACGCCTGGATCTTAGGCCCCGCCTCCCTCCGCTCTGCCTCTCCCGGCGGAGTGACCTACGGAGCGTGGCTTTGTGGTGCGCGAGGTGCCCACAGGACCCGTTCCGCCTCCGCCTGCCTGGTCTTACGTCCAAGCTTCTGCTGACGCTGCCCTCAGTGCTTGTCCTACTGGATATGCGCGTGGTGCAAAAAGCACGCTCGATGCTATTTACAAGCAGCGGGCCAATCTAGCAGAGGAGGAGCTTGCGGGAGCTCGTCAAATGTCCTTGCCATGTTGGGGGGCCAGGGGTCAGAGTAATCTGCAACATATCACTCTTACCTGGGGTCACTCTCTCATGTGGCAGACCCTCTCTCTCTCTCTGTCTTCTCGTCTCCTCCCTCGTTCGCGGCTATCCCCTGCCCGCGCTGGCACTGGCCGCGCCGTCGGCCTGGGTCAGGCGTTCTTGCTGCTGCGATTTGTGCTGAGCCTGCACTGGCTTCCATGGGGGCACCGCGCCAGGCGCAGGCGAGGCCTGGGCAATTCATTCTGTCACGCGCCCGACGTCATGGAGTGTTCTTGGCACAGGCCCCAGATCCCACCCGCGTCGTGAGAAAACTCACGTGACACCGAAGGTTCTCAATCAGTTTCGGCTTGCAGGCCATGGGGCCGCTGCCATCGTCATAACACACTTCAAGATGAGAAGGTGGCATCGAGTAAGAGTTTGAGACCTTCAGGGCCTACGTCGTGAAAAGGCACGACGTCGTAGGCCTTGGGGCCCCGTGGACATCTCGACCCCTTCCTTGCGACCGCGGTCCTTCATCGCGGGTAGTGCTTTTGATGTGTCCCAGGGCCCGGAACGAATCTCCGGAGGCCGAACGGTTGTCATAAATGGTTTTCGCGTCCCGGCTCTTGCCCGCACGGTAGGAACACCAGCTAAGGAACCTCTTTGCCAGTTGGTACCACGAAGAGATAGGAGGAGTGCGAGGTGAAGGAGGAGTTGGAGTTGGGAGGAGGAGGAGGAGGAGGGGGAGGAGATGGAGGAGGAGGAGGAGGAGGAGGAGGTAGATTCCCCGATGGTCACGGGGACATCAGCTGGGAAAGAATGCGTGGCAGCGAGCAACGCAGCGTTTGTCTCGGGGACCCCAAAGGGGGTACCCCTTCGGGGCTCCCCGGGTGCGCCCTGAGGTACAGTCGGGGCGCTGAAGAAGGAATCCTTCTCGTTGGGGAGGGGCTCGGTGTTCCTTGATGGTTCTACAGCTTGCCTTAGGTTTTCATGGGGTTTTCCATGGGAGATCGAAGTGTAGCTTCTGGGAAAAAAAAGGGGCCTCGTTCCTTATTTAGGGTTCCTTGGGTCAACGCCCCGACTGCACATCATATCAAGGCTCTTCGCCGTGTGACTCCCAGGGGGCAGATGTCTTGCCAGTCTCAACGCGAGGCCCCCAGGATTCCACGACCCCGTCCCCACTGTCGGTGTTTCGCCCCGAGCAGCTCTTGGACGGCCCCAGCGCCGGGCGAGGGGCCCCATGAGGCGGAACACTCAGCACGTGGGAGGTCCGGGAGGATCGGTGGCTTGCGGGCCATACCTCCGGCATCCAGCCGCCGATCGGGACGATCCCGGCATCCCCAGGAGCGTTCTCGGCGGGGCGCTGGTGAGAAGCACTCCGAGGTTGGAGAGCGTCTGATAGGTGCCGGAAGCGCCCGAAAGCGTCCGAGGAGGAGGAGGAGGAGGAGGAGGAGGAGGAGGAGGACAAGGAAGAGGACAAGGCGGAGGACGAGGACAGGGAGGAGGAGGAGGAGGGAGGAGGAGGAGGAGGAGGGAGGAGGAGGAGGAGGAGGAGGAGGAGGGGGAGGAGGCCAGAGGACCAGGACGAGGAGGACGAGGACGAGGACGAGGAGGAGAGGCGGAGGACGAGGCCTCCGCCTCGGCTTCCGCCGGCGCGGGAGGCCCGCCGGGAGCGGCCTCGCCCCTGGCGCGCCCTGCGAGGAGGCGCCGCGCCCCGTGGCCGGCCGGCGCGCCCCGTCGTGGCGAGGCCTCGCGGCCACGTCGGGCCCCGCACAAGGGGGGGGCAGGGGGAGGGGGGAAGGCTTCGTAGGAGGAGGCTGCTTCCTGGAAGGCGCCCGCTCCCCTCTACTTGTTGCTTCTTCTTAGGAGGAGGCTGCTTCCTGGAAGGCGCCCGCTCCCCTCTACTTTTTGTTTGTTTTCTCTCTCTCTCTCTCTCTCTCTTTCTCTCGACATCTATATCTATGTCTGTATCTATATCTATATCTATATATATATATACACAGACAAGGCCCGCTCCTTCTCAGAAGCAGGGGTGCTTCCAAAAAGCCTGTCCCCCCCCCCCCCCCCCCCCCCCTGCGCGCGCCGCCCCGTCCTGGCCTCGGGGAGGAGGCATGTGGGGCCATGCAGGGCATCCCTCCTCCTCCTCCTCCTCCTCCTCCTCCTCCTCCTCCTCCTCCTCCTCCTCAGTCTTTTCGAGCATTCTCGTTGGTCCTCGGCGGTTTTCCGGCCTTGGGGTGCTCTCCAGCAGCTGCGCCTCGCCGAGGGCGTTCCAGGGGTGCCCGAGCTCCGGCCCGCAAGCCCGGGGGCAAGATCAGGGGAGCACAGGCTCGAGGCGGAACGCGTCGACCCCCAATCGCCCATGGATCGCATGCAGGGGTCTGGCAGCCCCACCTCGCCCAGGAACGTTCGGAGTCGCCAGCGGAGGCCTCTCGCCGATCGGTAGGCGATGTCGATTCCAAGTCGACGTGTCCCCCCCTGAGCTGGTGCCACCCTCTCGTTGCCTCTCAAGGCCGCAGTGTCTAGCATTACCTTTTAGGTGCTCCCAAACATTGCAGGCCGGGGTTGAGGCTTCTCCAGCCTCGGGATGCTATCCAGCAGCTGCATCTCCTGCATCTCGGAGCTCCCCGTGCGCGCGCATCACGCGCGTCGCGTGCGGAGCGCTTCGAGGACTTCGTAGGATCGAGCCTTTTGACACTCAACTCTCGACCCCCTCGCGTCGTGAAAGAATCCAGATTGAAGGTTGTTCGCTATTCTTGGCCTCTTGGCCCCCGCAGAAAACGGCTCGAGGATGACAGGCCAGCCTTGGGGATGGGTCGGAATTTCCGGGGACCCCAGAGAACCGAACACAATAGCTATATTGGATCCATGGGCTTTGCGCCGTCACGATGGCAAGTGTTTTTTGTTTCTTCATGCTGAGATCCTCTTGACTTCTTGCTGGTCCGATCCCACGGAAGGGGTCGACATCTCGAGGAGCCAGCGCTGTGAACAAGTGAAGCCGTCCGAAGTCTGGGGGCACAGACCCTCGAAGTTGTGATCTTTTCGCAACGTGGACCCCGAACGTCTGAACACATGAATCGTTTTTTGACGGCTTCAGGGCTGGGTCAGAATCCCCAGAGGCTGAACATCGGCGAACATATTCCATTGTTTTGCCCAACCATCCTATGGTGTTGGGTCCTCGTTTTGAAGAGACAGCGCCCCGCGTTCACTCCTCCCTCCTCCTCCCCCTCCTCCCTCCTCCCTTCATTTCCCCTCCGCCCTCCGCACGTCAATTTCGGCACACCACTCACACGTTTGGTGGCCCCATAAAGAGCTCCACCGAAGGCCCCAGTGGCACAGTCAACATGCGTCCCCCCGCCCCATTTCGGCACACACCTCAATCGGTTCGCGTCCCAATGGTGCACCGAAGGCCCCATTAGGAGCTCCACCGAAGGCCCCAGTGGCACAGTCCACATGCGTCCCCCCACCCCATTTCGGCACACCCTTCTCACGGTTCATGGCCCCATCGGGAGCTCCACCGAAGGCCGCAGTGGCACAGTCCACATGCGCCCTCCCGCCACATTTCAGCACATACCTCACCCGTTTCGTGCCCCCATAAAGAGCTCACAGGCGCCCCCCCACTTAATTGAGGCACACCCCTTTCATGCCTCTTGGCCCCGCATGGAGCCCCACCGACGGCCCGAGTGGCACGGTCCACATGCGTCCCCTGCCCCATTTCGGCACATCCCTCACCCGTTTCGTGCCCCCATGGGGAGCCCAACCGAAGGCTCCAGTGGCAGAGTCCACATGCGTCCCCCTGCCCCCTTTTCGGCACAGCCATCACACGTGCCGTGCCCCCACAGGGCGCTCCTCCGAAGACCCCTGTGGCACGGTCCACATGCGTCCCCCCCGCTCATTTCAGCACACCGATCACACGATTCGTGGCCACATGGGAAGCTCCACCGAAGGCCCCAGTGGCGGTCTACATGCGCCCGCCTCACTCGCGTCGACACGCCCTCCGCATGCTCCGTGGCCTTTCACCGAAGGTCCCAGCCACGCAGCTCGCATGCGTCCGCCCGCCCCATTTCGGCACACCCCTCACGCGTTTCGTAGCCCCACACGGGGCTCCACCGACTGTCCCAGTGGCACAGCCCACATGCTGTACGCCCTTCGCGGGTTGCGTGGCCCCACTGGGAGCTGCACCGAAGGCCCCAGCGGCAGGGTCCACATGCGTTCGTCCCGCGCATGTCGGTACACCAGTCACACGTGTCATGGACCCCCAAGAGCTCCACGGAAGGTCCCACATGCGTCCGCCCCACCCATGTCGGCACACCCCTCACATGTTTCGTGGCCCCATAGGGAGCTGCACCGAAGGTCCCAGTGGTGCAGCCCGCATGCGTCCGCCCCAGCCATGCCGGCACCTACCCCACACGTTTCGTGGCCCCACAGGGAGCTCCACCGAAGGTCCCAGTGACGTTGTCCAGATGCGTCCGTTCATTCGTTTCACCACACTATGATTGTTCATGGCCCCATAGGGAGCTGCACCGAAGGCCCCAGTGGCCATGTTCGCATGCGGCCGCCCCACCCGTTTCGGCACATCCCTCTCGCGTTTCGTAGACCCACAGGGAGCTCCACCGAAGGCCCCAGTGGCCATGTTCACAAGCGGCAGCCTCACCCACTTCGGATCACCCATCACGCGGTTGTTGGCCACGTAGGGGGCTCCACCGAAGGCGATACTCACAACGACGTTGGGTCTTCGCCAGGCTAATCTTCGCGACGCATTCCACTCTTCGAAATCGTGGAATTCTTCGTGTCGTGCGTTTCAAAAGCTTTATTGTTTCGTGTTGACGAAGAAGCGCTGGACCTCAAGCTAACCCGCCAGCTGTGGACGGCTTTCTGACCGCGGTCCTGGCCCTCATGCACGAGGGTTCAGGGAGAGAGAAGGATGGTGATGATCGTTCTGCTCATGATCGTGATGCTAATGATGTTGTTGCTGCTGATGATGCTGATGATGGTGATTACGATGGTGGTGGTGATGATGATGATGATGATGATGACGATGATGTTTTTTTTATTGTTTTGGTGAGGATGAGGATGCTGATGATGAGGACGCTGATGATGCTGCTGATGATGATGCTGATGGTCATGACACTGATGCTGATGGTTAAGATGATGATGATGATGCTGATGCTGATGCTGATACTGATGCTGCTGCTGATGATGATGATGCTGATGCTGATGCTGATGCTGATGCTGATGCTGATGATGATGATGATGATGATGATGATGATGATGATGATGATGATGATGATGATGATGATGATGATGGGCGTGATGATGATGAACACCACCAAGTACCCGACAATGAGGGGTATGTGATTGGCCGGCCATCAGCATCTCACACTTCGTGACAATGACGCAGTTGAGAAGCGAGAAAATGATGCTCCAGGTGCAAAAGACGGGTCTGATCAATGGGGCCTGCCAGCTATGGGTCGGGGGAGGAGCGAGCCGCTGGCAGTACGGCCTCGTTGGTGTTTCGGTGTTGTCGGGTAACCTCCGACACACGCACCACCCACTCGACGAGCACCCGATCAGTCTGGGCTCCTGCCTTGAACCCAGCGTGCCCCAAGGAGTTACCAGGGCCTCGCCTGCAGGGGGCCCTCCTGCGCAGCCGCACTCCCATGCCACGTGGCGGTGTGACCCGACCGACTCGTTGCAGAGGGGGCGCATGCCAGGTGCCCCACCGCGCGCGAAGCTCGCCGGGGAGACTGCCGCGCCGCAGAAGATCTTCGGGCCGCCCTTCGCTGCATGCCGCGTGCGTCGCGAGCATGGCCTGGCAGCTCTGCGGGCCTTGGCCGACCTGCGTGCGGAGCACCGTCTCGCGGCAGCGCCCGCCCCGCCATTCACAGGAGCGGGGCTGCGCGCCGGCAGCGCGCGCCCGATGCTTCGCCCAGACCGCCAATGCAGGCCAGCGTGTGTCGAAGGAGGGAGTCCCAGACACTCGACGATGCGACTCTTCCCTCCGGGGCCCCAGATCGGCCCCCCGAGCCCGGCATGAGGCACAGAGTTCTGGATCGAGCACGTCACCCCTTTGCATCTCCCGGTCTATGCCTCGATCGGGCATTGACCAGTGCCAGTGTGTCCGAGGTCCGGGTCGCTCCCTCGGGCGGCGCGCCCGCGCGCGGCAGGACGAGGCCCTGGACTTCCGGCTCATCGACGTCCGCGGCCTTGCGCAGCGCGCGGTCGGGAGGGTGCCGCTGAGCGCAGGCCCTCCCGCGGGGAGGACAGGAGGATGAGGAGGACGGATGAGGAGGAGGACGGAGGAGGAGGAGGAGGAGGACGGAGCAGGAGGACGGAGCAGGAGGAGGAGGAGGAGGAGGAGGAGGAGGAGGAGGAAGGATCGGGGGGATCGGGATTTCAAGGTTTTGGTATCTTTTCCTATGCATGCGGAGCCCTCACTTGCGCCGCAGTTGGGGCCCCCATGGGGCACGAGCCGTGTGAGAGGTGCGCCGGAATGGGCGGAGGGACCGCATGCGGTCGCCCTTATTGGCTTGGCGTCGTAGATGCAGAGCCCCCATAGTGGACCCGACCCATATGAGGGTTGTGCCGAAAGTTGCGGAGGAACCGCGCATGTGGGCGCCCTCACTGGTGCAGGAGATGCAGGCCCGATGTGGGGCACGCTCCGTGCGAAGGGTGTGGCAAAGTAGCCGGGGCGACGCCATGCGAGCGTTCTCCCTGGGGCCTCAGACGGAGCTCCCTGTAGTGCCGGCGTGGGCGCGGCGCCGCCATGCAAACTCACCCGCTGAGGCCGTAGGTGGAGCGCCCTGTGGGGCACGAACCGCAAGTCGTGTACGCAGAAAGGGGCATACGGATACGGACTGCGAGGCAGAGGGAGAAAGAACAGAAAAGGAGCGGGAGATGGAGGACAATGGGGAGGAACGAGGCGACACGCGGCGCTGCAGATTCAAAACGAGGTCGAAACAGCACAGGAGGTTTACGAACCACTGTGCGTGCGATCTCTGCCCCTGGACCTCCCAGGGAGTGTTTTGACCAGGACTTCGCTGGGAATCCCGCCCTGGCGATGACATCTCCTTCCAGAGCCCAAGAAGAACGCCGAACATTCCACAAGCCCGACCACGTGCAAGAGTGACTCTTCGCCTGAGTGACCCTTGGTGCGGGCCAACTGGGGTCCCCCGATCACCGATTTCGATGCGATACAGTCGGACCGAGGTATAAGATCACATTTGATTCGGGGAGGGTACCCTAAAGTTCTTCGTGCTTTTTGGATGGTCTTGTGTATCCTCGTGAGGGTACACATGAATGTATGCTGTTTATGGCCGACGGAGGTTATCATGACCTTGAGGGATTGTTGTTCTGGCCTGAGTCCGACTGTAGCAGCGGTTTGCGCCCACCCCCCCTTCAAAAGCCTCGCACCAACACGATCACCCTTGCCCAGGGCCACTTGCGTCTCGCCGAAAAGCTTGATCCCCGAAGTTCGAACCTCGATTCTCTCCCCAATCCCCTGACGGTCTCGAACCTGGACCCCTCGGTCCTCGACCCTCGATCACCCGTCTCCTCCCATCCATGATCCTGACGGGATCCTTTGACATTGACCCCCCGACCCTCCCCCCTCGATCCTCGAATGTCGGCCCTGTTCTTTTCCTCCCCTTTATCCCCCCTGCGGCGCGTTTCTGCTGCGAGGATCGCGGCTCTGCTGGCTGGGCTTCACGCCCAGCCTGGCGCCGGTGGCGGTCGACTCCAGGCACCGAGTGGGGAGTGGGAGGACGGCAGAGCAGGAGGGAGAGGGAGGAACTTCTTGCACGAATTGACGTGCCCGCTCCCGTTTCTCTTTTCCTCCTGGCTCTGGCTTTACATCCTGGCCCCAGAGGGCGAGCGAGCGCCAGGGGGAGGGAGGAGGCAGGTATGAGGAAGGGAGGGAGAGAGTGAGGAGGTGAAGAGAAGGGAGGAAAAAGGAGGAGGGAGAAAGAGGGAGAGAGGAGGGGGGAGGATGATAAGGATGACGAGGAGGAGGAGGGAGGGAGGGAGGGGGAAGGGGTAATGGGGGAAGGGATAAGGGAGAAGGAAGGGTGGAGGAGGAGGGAGGGAGGGAGGGGGAAGGGGTAATGGGGGAAGGGATAAGGGAGAATGAAGGGTGGAGGAGGAGGAGGAAGAAATGGAGAAGAAGGAGGAGAAGGAGGTTGGATCGATTGAAGAGAGGAGCAGGAGGAGGAACAGCACGAGGTGAGAGGAGGAAGGGAGGATGAGGTGGGAGGAGTGAGGGAGGAGTGGAAGAGGAGGAAGTGGGAGGCAGGACGGGAAGGAAGAGTACTCCTCGACTTTTGTGTGCCTGCGGGGGCGGAAGGGCTGCTCGCGCACCCGCGCTCCGTGGCCGCCTAGAGCTCAAAGAACGAGTGCGCAGAGCAGTTGATGTAGGAAGACAAACTTTGAGCATGGTGCGGAGGACCGCGAGCTTCTGCCCTGCACGGGGCAGAGACGGGATATCGACTCAACGACGACGACGATGACAGCGAGTATTCCTGCGAGCTTCTGCTTGCACATGATACCTTCCTGGAATTCTACACAACCGCATCTGGCGCAGATGGATGATGTTTTCCGGTAGGCCGCTGCCCTTCTTGCTAGAAACAGTTTAAGTCTGAGGCTTCCTGGGCTGCGGAGAAGGAAGGACAACAACTGATGCCATTTGTCGCAAGTTTGCGGTCGTCCCTTGGGATCGAGAAGTTGCAACCTCTTTTTTGGCGGAAGGCTGACGGAGGCTGGCGGAAACACAACGGGGGTAGTCCCGCAGGCAGAAGGCAGGTGGAGGCCCGCGGATGTAAAATTCATAATCCCAAGAGGTGCAAGTTGTTTGGGTTCAGGGTGTTCAGGCTGGGTCACTTGTCTATGCGCTTTCGGCCGATCGGCCAGTTTTGCTTGGTTCGCTGGCCAGCGAGCTTACAGGCCCCTTGGAGTCTCTGGGAAGGCCTCTCGGTTGGTTGCCTCTAGGGGCCTCTTCGGCGCTTCTTGGGGGCTTGGAGGCGGGAGGAAGGCAGGAAGAAAGGAGTAGGAGGAGAGGACCGGGCGGATACGGATGTGCACGGTGACCCCTCGTCGTTTTTCTTTGTACGCGAGTTGAGGTCTGAATCGAACATAACGCATGCGCGCAACGATGAAAACGGACTTCCTGTCTACCGTGCTGCCGCGGCATGTCGTTCTTGTGTTTCACTGAGGCCGTTTCGACACCACAGATGTGGATGTATAACCTTGACATCGCTCGGACGTGTGCATTGTTCCTTCGGCGAGGACCATCGAGGAACATCCTTGATCATTTGACGAAGAAGCCACGCACGAAACCGAAAAAAACACAGGGAATGCACGTCCGAGCGAGGGCCAGTAACCGTGGCTAGAAAGAAAGGATTTGCCAGATGATTCACACATGTCCAGGACTTGGGGCTACGGGCTGTGCGTCTGGTCAGCCCCGTTCCGTCGTCTGGTCCGTCGCTGCGTCCTCTGAGAGGTTGCGCTCACCGCGGAGGCGCCGTGCCAAGCCAGCACAAGGAGTGCACCCATCCAACATCTCGAGTAAAAACGCGTGATCGTTCGTGGGCTCCAGTTTTCTTCCAAGAGAATGAAGAATCTGGGCTGGACCATGGGGCGCCCTCTTGGAGCCTCTTTCCTTCATATACTGTTTTTGTGTCTGTTAAGCTGAGCTGCTGTTCAAGAGAACGCTGGGAGCGAAGTCTGCTTCCTTAGCGCTCTGAGCTGGGGTGCACACAGAAAACCACCCCCGACCATCACGGGCCCGCCGCGGTCGAGTGCTCTTCGCCTGGCATACCTCCACAGAGGGGGCTCGGGTCCTCGGCGCCTCGCTTCGACTGCAGGTCCCCCTGGGGGGCCGCCGGAGGCCTCTCGGCCCCGCCCCTCGAGGGAGGGAGGGGAGGGGAGGGCGGGAGGGGAGGGGAGGGCGGGAGGGGAGGGGAGTGAGGGAGGCAGGGAGTGAGGGAGGCAGGGAGTGAGGGAGGGCGGGGAGGGGGGGGGGAGGGGAGGGGAGGGGAGGGGAGGGGAGGGAGGTAGAGGAGGAGGAGGAGGAGGAGGAGGAGGAGGAGGAGGAGAACGAGGGGCGAGGGGCGAGGGCAGGGCCCCGCCCCAGAAGCTTGGACGTCCTCGCTACCTCCGGCCGGCGCTGGCGTTGCCGCGGGTTCTCGCGCCGGCATTCGGTGCCGCTGGCGCGGCCAGACGTGCTGGCGCATCCCCAAGCTACCCGAGGAGGCTTCTTTTTCAAGCAGTGGCGAAGCGTCCCGGCTCGCCTATATCCCCACCAAACAATGCTCTAAGAACCTCTTGTGGTTCCCACGAAATGTTCTTTGAACATTTCTGGCGGAGTCCGTCTGGTTCTAACACATCGGGTTTATGTTCTAAGAAAACCTTTCTTGTTGTGAGAGCATTTTTGGGTTCTAAGAACACTCGGTGGTATGACTATAGGAATGCCGGGACGGTCGGTCCCTGTTCAACTTTTGCAGTATGCGGGTTCACCGGAAGTCCCAGCCTGGCCCCCAAGGCCGGCGTGCCATCTCTGGAGGTCGGAAGGGGGTGTGGCATAAAGGGGCGTGGTGCCCATGCTGAATCTGGCAGTGTAATCTATCGTGGATAGCATCTCCATGTTCACGATTGGCACCACACCCTCTTGTGCCACACCCCTTTGCTAGCTCCAGATCATCCTGAGCCGTCTTCTGACGCTCCTGGGGCCAGGCGGGGGCCCCCAAGGGCCAAAGCTGGCACGGAGCCTCCGCACTGGTGTGTCAATTCGCGGGTTCAAGAGGCCTCGACCCCTCTCCATAAAGGGTCGTGAGCTGATGGCCCTTGACGCGTCCGAAGCAAAGACTCTTTTCTCGCGGCGTTCCTCTCAAGAGGCGGCCACGACTGCACTACGACTCTCAGAGTCGTCTGAGCCCTGAGCCTGCCGTCGAGAAAGGACACCATAACTGAAAGGATCACGTGGCCTTCAGTCGGGCACGTCCCTTTACTAGAGGAATATTCCCCAACAAGTCAAAACATAGTCAGATGACGATTTTTTTCTGTTATTGTTGATCACGCTTGAATGTTTTTGTCAATTTTTTAATCTTTCTTCCAAAATCCGCCTGTAAGAGGACATGCCCGACCTAAACGAAGCCCTTTCTGAGACCTGGCCCGCCGCGGCCAGGGGCGGGACCAGTTTTCCGCGGCCGTCGCAGCCTCGCCAGGGGCGTGGCGCGCGTGTTCTTCTTCTGCGCCGGCCTCGCCGGCTCTGGTGACTGGGTGCCAGGCCCGCTGTGGTCGTCGGCGGCGGCGGCGGCGTTGTCGTTGCATGTCGTCGCCACAGTCGGCGGAGGAGGGGGAGGTCCGAGATCAAGCTGCATTGCATCGGGCGATCCCCACTGAGCGATCCTATAGCGCGATGTGGTGCAACATTGCTGGTGCATGGCCGCTGTGCCGATTATGAATGCTTGGTATGTGCGCATGTTGGTTCATGTGTTGCTTGTTCGCTTTATGAGTTATACATGTGTTAATGTTGTGTGTTTTGTGTGCACGTCGTGTGTTTCTCTACTGTGCCCACAATATATGATTGAGTATGTTATGTAAGTAGGCCCTTCCTGTGCGATAGGCTTGTAATTACGTGTGCAGCTGGTGCATGTTGATGATGTGTGGTGGCGTTATTTGATGACAGTGACGCGCGTTTCTGGTGTATGTATGATTGCGTCCATTTCACGTATATCATTGACTATGTTTGGGGTGTATGTGTTGAAGTGGGTTGTCGATGTCTCATTTCGACATATGTTTCTATGGTACCTTGTGTGGTGTTTGTTGTTGGTGCGCCGTGCTAGTAAACGTGATTGCTGTATCTTCGTGGTGTTTCCTGTTCTTATTGCTTTGGTGTAGGTGTTGGGTGTATGCCAGCGGTGCGCGTTGTCGGGGTACATCTCTGGTGCGTATTGGTCTGCGTATAAGTTTGCGCATTGGTGTCCGTTCTCGGCGCACTGTTTTTGGTCTGTTCTTAGTGTTTGTTCTTGATGTCAGGTGTCAGTAACTGGTCGTGCTGCACGCATGTGCATGATGCACCGCTTGATGTATAAGGCATGGTCTTAAACAAATTGTCGATCTACCTTCGTTTGTGTACAGCGTTGATGACTGCTGCTGACGCGTGTTCTTGATGGCTGTTCTGGACAAATGTGCTCATTTCAGTTGTCGTTTCGAGTCCTTTATGTGTGCCATTGTTGTCAGTTCTTCACTGGCATGCGTGACATACACAGGTGCTGCATACTCTGGCAGTCTAGTCTTGATGTACATACTTGACATATGGTATGATGTCGGTTCTTGATGGGTGCGATTGTTGATCGGATGTGTGTCTTGATGTCTGTTCTTCGGATGTGTCGGTTGACGGCTTGATGCCTGGACGGCGTGGCGCTTGACCCCTCCATGGTGATGTTCGGCGAGGCGGGAGACTCGGGTACACTCGGATCTCCTCCTGCCTGGCGGCCGCGAGATGCAGGGCTGGCGAGGCCGGAGACTTTGGGGACTCTCGGAGCTCGGTTGGCCTTGCCGCCACGGCGTGCAGGGCTGGCGAGGGGGGATACTCGGGGACACTCGGGACTCGTTGGTCCTCACGGCCGCGCTGTGCAGGCCTGGCGGGCGAGCTTTCTCTTAAGGCATAATAGCAGCTCCAACCCTTCGGGCGGGGATATCGACATCCACACGGGTTTGTTGGGGCGGCGCTGAGACATGGGCGAGGGAAGGCGCAGAAAGGTGAGGAGCAGGGCAGAAGAGGTGGGGCGTCACATCATGTTGCATGATCGCCATGGCGTTGCTTGTATACGGAAGCCAGTGGACGAGGCAGAGAACGGGCGAACCGCGAGCAGCACTCTCACCGCAGGGCATACTATTTGAGTCCATGCTGAAGTGATCTACCACTGGCCCGAGCTGAAAGCCGTCGACGTGCTCCACAGCCACGGCCCTTCCTCGTGCCCACGAGCGTCTGCCAACAATGGCTCGTACAAGCCAGCGACCTGCGTTGGCTCTGCGGTCGCCGAACGGGTCGACCAGCAGGTCATCTGCGGTGCCGTGCGGCCCGCGCACCCTCGGGATGTCGCCTTCTCTGCTCCCCCTGGCCCCATTCCCTCCCCTCCCCCGTTACGCATCGGTCGTCCTCCGCTCCCGCTGTGCCCCCTCTCGTCCTGCTGCGTCGCCCTTCCCTGTCCCCCTCTCTCGGCTCCACGATCGCAAGCGCCACGGGCGTGTCAGCGGGTGGGCTTCCCTGGGGGGAGGGCCTGCCGTGGCCCGTGCCCTGCGGAGAAAGACCGCCCCTGCCAGTGCTCTCGCTGCCCGACGAGGAGGCGCGGCTCGGGGCCCTGCGGGTCGTGGGCGCCCGGGACAGGCCCCGCGCGCGGAACGCGCCCGCGGACCGTCGCGTGCGGCGGAGGCGGGGGCGCAAGGAGGGGAGCATCTGGGAGGGCGCGGCACGCAGCGAGACGCGCGATGGGGGGGGTCAGATGGTCACCACCCACCAAACCACCCCCAACCCAACCCGAAGGCTCAGATTGACCCTCGACTTCCAGCGGGGGGGGGGGTCGGGAAACGTCGACAAAACACATGTGGAGCCCTGAACCCCCCCAACCCGAAATGCGGGTCTTCGGGTTGGGTTGGGGTGGTCTGGTAGGTAGTCAGATGGAGGAGGGGGGGTGGGCGGCGGGGACGGTGCGCTCATGGAGCACGGGACTGGGGGCGGGACGCGGGGAGGCATGTGGTGGGGGGGTACCAAGATGGAGGAGGGCGGCGGGAGAGGAGGCGCTCGTGGAGCACATGGGGCAGGGATTGGGGGCTCGGGGAGACATGTGGGTGGTGCGCCAGCCCCTGTCTGGCGTCACGCGGTGTCCTTTTCGCCTGGCGCTCGGGCACCACCCCAGGGCAAGTGGGCGCGACAACGTTTCACCGGCGCTCCGCGCGGGGACCTGCAGGCTAGGACAGAGGCGCCCCGCTGACTGTCTTGGCAGAGGAGAAGGAGGACGAGGAGGAGGAGGAGAAGGAGGAATATGAGGAGGGCAAGGACGAGGAGGAGGAGGAGGAGGAAAAGCAGGAGGAGGAACAGTAGGAGGAGGGGGAGGAGGAGGAGGAGGAGGAGGAGGAGGAGGAGGAGGAGGAGGAGGAGGAGGAGAAATAGGAGGAGGAGGAGGAGGAGGAGGAGGAGGAAAAGGAGGAAAAGGAGGAGGAGGAACAGGAGGAGGAGGAGGAGGAGGAACAGGAGGAGGCAGGGCGAGCCGAAGAGGCACGGCGGCTCGTAGACCCGTGCCCGGCAGGCATGCGGCGGGGCGCGCCGGGCTTCCCGCATCTCTTCGTCTCCTTCCCGCGTCTCCCTCCCCCGCCCTCTCCTGCTCGGCTCGCCTCCCCCTCGCTATGCCCCTCGGCCCCGTGGATTCCAACGAGAGGTCTCGCCCTTGGCCGCTCGATCTCCTTCTCCGTCCGGCCCTGGTCCAGATCTCCTCCCGCCTGTGTTGCTCAATCCGCTTTGCCCTCCCCCCTCTCCTCCCACTCCTCCTGCCAGGACTCCTGCGCCGTCTTCGTCCACGCCTCGCCCTTGGCCGCACGACCTCTTCTCCGCTCCTGTATCCCCCTCCGCATGCCTCTTGGTCGGTTCCCGATTTCCTCCCTTGCTGTGCTGCTCGTCATCGTCGAGCTTCTCCAAAAATAAAAACAAACAAAAACGCCAAACCAGGGCAGGAGCAACAGGAGAGTGGGCACGGCGTGGTGGCCCGCCCCCAGTCTGCGTACTGACCTCTCGCTGTGCCACCTCCCACCCCCTCCTCCGCTTGTCCTCTTCCCGAAGTCGAGAACTAGCAGCGGGAGCCGCGGGCGCCAGGAGAAGCAAAGCAACACATACCCCAACAGACGTCAAGCGACCTCCCTGCATGTCCTGCCTGCGGCAGGTTGCAGGGCTCGCTGAGTCGCGGGCAGACTGTCGGATGACCCATTCCAGACTCCGACGATGGGCGGCCCCGACACCGCAACCCATGTGGCATGCAGGTCGGCGGCGCCAGCCCCCTGGCCATTGATGGAATCTTGGGCGCTTTCCCCCGCTTGTTGGGGAGAGTTCACGCCAGAGCAGCGGTGGCGGGAATGTGTTCGAAAGAAAAGAGGAGGAGGAGGAGGAGGAGGAGGAGGAGGAGGAGGAGGAGGAGAAGGAAGAGGAGGGGGAGGAGAAGGAGGAGGAGGAGTAGGAGGAGGAACGGGAGGGGCATTGAGAGGAGCGGGGAAGGACTAGCGGATCCAAGGAGAAAGCGCCTGCTTTCGAGCTGCCCCCAGAACCGTCAGTGCGTGTTGCTGGGTAAACACCCCGCCTGTTCAGTCTCGTTGGCCGCACGCCCACTGGGGGCCGGGCGTGCCAACAGCCTGGTTGTTGGCGTTCCCTGTGCCTAAACAAGATTCAGTTGCACAGCCGCGCCCATCCGCAACCTCGCTGGGGCGGGGACCATCAGCGACCGCGAGCAGCCAGTGGGCTCCTGTTGGTCTTCATGCGCCTGTGGGGTCCCAGCTGCTGTCCGCCTGTTGACCGCCCGTGGGCACGTCGGAATGGGTGGTAGTTTCAGGTTTTTGACCAATGCCCGCCGATGACCGCCACGTGGGCGCTGTAGCTTACATCACATAGCGTACACCACACAGACAGGACAGCATAGTTTGCGCCACGTAGTTTACGCCACCCAGCTTGAATCCTTAACTTGCACCACAGAGCCTTCACCACGCATAGATTGGATAACGCATATTAGACCCCTTTGACTCCACAACCGGGACTTCATCCTATATCGTACACAACATAGTTTACGTCTGACAACGTTCACCACATCGCATGCACCGCATAGACCGCATCGCCTATATTTTCTTACAGAGCTTTCGCCCCACGCCTTGCCCCGCATAGCTGGCACCACAGAGTGTGCACCACGCAGTTTGCACCACGCAGCTTGCACGGCATAGCTGGCGCCATACAACTTGCAGTACACAGATGACACCACACGTCTTACACCGCACATCGTGCACCACATTGTTTGCACCACTTACTTCGCATTGCATAGTGCGTACGCCATAGATCTCACCACAAGTCTTCACATACTTTGCACCGCATCGATGGCACCAGACAGCTTGCACGACATACCTGGTACCGCATAGCCTGCACAACCTGGATTGCACCACGTCGCTAGCATCACATAGCTTACGCCGCATAGCTTGCCCCACATAGTCTGCACCGCACAGCTTGCATTACATATCTTGCACCACATAGCCGACACCACCGTTCTTACCCATCCAGGTTTTTGTCAAGGACCACCTCTTCCGTTCAAACTGATATGTGCCCCCCTGTCGAGGCATGCGCAGGCTCAGGCTTTTCGCTATGGACCTCTGCTGCTCCCCTTTTCTCTCATTATCTCTCTTTCTCTGTTATTTGTTTGTTTGTCTCTCTCCTTCTCTCTCTTGCTTGTTTGTTTGTTTGTTTGTTTGTTTGTTTGTTTGTGGTTTTGTCTCTCTCCTTCTTTCTCCCTATACATATATATGTACACATATATATATATATATATATATATATAGCATTCTCTTTCCGCCAATCCCCTCCCGTTCCTCCTCTCCACCTGTTCCCTGCCAGTTACTCCCCTCCCTCCCTGAAGAAGCAGGCGCAGGCTCACGCGTAGGCCTCCCGCCAGGGGCCTGCTCTGCGCCCAGACGGAGCCCGGCAAGCTTGGCGCGCTGCGCGAGCTGCCCTGGACGCTCCCGCTGGGCGCCATGCCGGCCGCGGGCGGCGCGGTGCAGGACGGCAGCGGAGAGGAGGCCGAGGGCGCCCTCGCCCGAGGCCTCCCGGTCAAGACGCTGACAGAAGGGCCTCTTCGGGGTCAGGTAGGGCTCTGGCTTTCGGCCCGTTCCCTGTAGCTGGGTCGGGGAACCGCTTCGTGGGCGAGTCTCGTTCCACAAGCAGCGTTCCTTCTGGCAGCACGATGATGTGAAACGAGTGCACGTGGCCATGGTGGCTCCTGGTATGGCCTATTCCTGCTGGTCGTGAGAGAACGCCCGGCGCGCTTTGTCCGGCTTGGCCGGGGAGGGTAGCCATCTGCCAGCGCCGCGTCTGACGACTGGCTTCTCTTCAGTCTGGGCCGCTGGAAGCCCGCTTCGGGCCCGCAGGGCCATCCCAAAGCGATCCAGGGTGAAGCATTGGTTCTGGGGATGGGGTCGAGAGCTCCGGGGGCGCACGTCGCAAAACATTGATGTACTTTGAAATTCGACCTGGCCTGGTGCGGATGCGCGCAGACAGCCCCTGGCGGTAGTTAGCCCAGGCTGGCATCAACAGGCCCCCTGCAGGGTGTTCTGGCCTCGTCTGGACAGGCACCACCTGCGTCGGCGCTCCAAGGCGCGCTCCACGCCCAGAGGTTTGGACAGTCAGTAGATAGCAGCCTGGGCAGAGGGTGAGAGAGAGAGAGAAACAAAAAAGGGAGAGAGAGAGAGAGAGAGACAGAGGGTGCCCAGCGGCACGGTGGCGCGAACGTGTTGTCTACTGGACCTGCCGTGTGTATGTACAGGAGGCACACGTAACGGGGGCAGCAGATGTCAGACCAGTGGATTTCAGCTTGTCGCCTTGGTGTGCAGTAGTTGTTCCTGAGACTTCGCTTCGGCAAAGAGTAGAACTACGAATCGTAATGCGAATTGCATTCATACATGTAGCATCACTTATCGTAATGTTGATAATGATGCTTTACCGATATGAAGACTTTTGTGTACATACATTTATCTAGATATACATACGTCCATACTTACAAGTCGCAGAATTTGAAGAGGGAGAGAGAGGGATAGAAAGGAGGGAGAGACGAGAGAGACAGAGAAAGAGAGAGAACGAGAGAGGGAGAACGAGAGAGAGAGAGATGGAGAACGGGATAGGGCGGGGTGCGCCGGGTCTGAGCCGTGGCGCGCGGCTGGGCGGGGCGGGGCGCACGCGTTGTTTCCCGCATCCCTCGCTCCCTGTCTCTCTCTCTCTGTCTCTCTCTGTCTCTCTCTCTCTCTCCCTCTCTATAATATGTCTCCTGTGTATATCTATCCTTATGTTTATTTGTACATTTATTTCTATTTTTTAATATATATATATATATGTATACACCGGACACCCGCAGGACGCCCTGCTCGCCGGCCTCCTGTCGCGCCACGCCCGAGTTGCGGCGGCCTCGGCCCCGCGCGCATCGGCACGGGAGCCGTCCGACGCTGGGCGCCGTGGGGGGGCCGAGCGTCGAGCATGAGACCGGGCACGCATGACGCGGCCGTCCTGGGCGAATGCCATTTCCCTAAGGGCTTGTCGACTTTTCGCCGATCGACTTGTGGGGAGCGAGCCAGAAAAATCCAGGTAAATGCAGATTAAGCTAGGTACATCCAGATACATCCAGGCAAATCGAAACAAATCTGGGTAAATCCTAAGATCTCCGAGGAAAGGTGAAGCAACTCGCGGCCGCTCCAGCGCGAGTCGAAGGACGGCAGAAGTCGTTAAGCCTTTAACGACCATTGCATCGCTCGGACCTTCTACCGTCGGGTACGCTGGGCGTCCCCGCGTGCATCCAGCACCCGGGGCCTTCCGAGTGTGAGCCCAGCTGTGTTCGTTTCGAGCTTCGAGTTAGTCTCGAGGATCGATGTTCGATGGCTGAGGGTCCATCTTGGCACAGTCGGCTCGATGGGACGTCGAACTCTTTGAACTATGCGCGGGTCTGGCCAAGATTGGACACCGTCGTAAGTATTCCCTCAAGTGTTTGGAGGAGTAGTATTGCTTGGGGCATACCAGGCGTTATGCCCCCCGCCCCCCCTGTAACGTAACGTTCCCCGCCCCCCAGTGCACCCCGGGCATTGCCGCCGTGCGCATCGGGATCCTCATAGGCGTCCGCATAGGACTTCGCATAGGGGTCCGGTCCGCAGTCGTCGTCGTCGTCGTCGTCGTCGTCGTCGTCGTCGCTCGTCGCTCGTCGTTCGCCGCTCGCCGCTCAGCGTCGTCGTCGTCGTACGCGCGGACGCGGTTGGAGCATGCTTTCTTATTCCGGGCCGATGCCGGCCGCCATTTTTTTTCGGGGGGGGGCGATGACGTCACGTTTCGCGCCGGCGGCGTCAGGGAATGCCTAGGAATGACAGGTGACTGGTAGCAGCAGCATGTAGGTGGCGATCTGCACCACAACGCCTGTGTACACCACAGTGCCTGCGTGCACCACAGCGCCTGTCTACACCACACCGCCTATGTACACCACAGCATCCACGTGCAACACAGCGCCAGAGTTTGCCACACTGCCGGCGGGCACCACAACGCTTGCGTGCACCACAGCGCTTGCGTACACTACGTCAGCCGTGTGCAACGCAGCACCAGTGTATACCACAATGCCTGCGTGCACTGCAGCGCCTGTGTACACCACGGCGCCTGCGTGCACCACAACAACCGTGTGCAACAGAGCACCATTGTTTCATATGAAGTTAGAGAACGATCCTTATGTCAATTTGGAACGCCTGTGGGTTCCACAGAAAACAAGTGTTTCATTTCGGATTCGGAAAGGAGTCCTTCTGGAAAAAAGAGCGCCGCTGGAATCTACGAGTTCTCCCAAGACCTCCCGCATCATCATAACTCTTCCATCGGCGTCCAGGAGGCTCCAGCTTAATTGGCCTTCCGAGAACCAAGTGGACTGATTCAATCGACCATTATGCGGTGCACGCTGAAACGCGCACGTGCGCTGCAGCGCCGACCCGCACGACAGGGGGGAAGGGTAAGGGAGGAGGAGGAGCAGGAGGAGGAGGATGAATGGAGGGTGGAGATGGAGGTGGAAGAAGAGGGAGGGGGGAAAAACGTCGCATTCTATTGTCAGCACCTCCTTGGCGTGGTGTTTAGTTGTCCGCAGCAGATCCTCGCCTACATGCTCCTTCCGCCTGCCCTGTGCACGCAGGCAGTGTGGTGCACACCAGCGCTGCGTTGCACGCGGATGCTGTGGTGTAGACAGGCGTTGTGGTGTACACAGGCGTTGCGGTGGACGTAAGCATTGTGGTGTACACAGGCGGTATGTTGCACATGGTCGCTGCGGTGTACACATTCGTTGTGGTGTACACGCTGTGGTGCACGCGAGCCTTGTGGTGTAGACAGGTGCTGCGTTGCGCACGGGTGTGGCTGTGTACGCAGGCGTTGTGGTGTACACGCGCGCTGTAGTGCACGCAAGCATTGTGGTGTACAAAAGCGTTGTGGGGCAGATCGATACCTATATGCTGCTCCTAGTTGGCCCCTGTCATCCTTAGGCATGCCCTAGGCATTCCTTTGTCGCCGATAATACAGGCACGCGCTCTAGGCAGTGGGATGTGCGGGACCATTGTTGACTGGCTCTCAAGCCCCTGCGTCACCGCTATGCTGGCCACGCGTCGCTTTGGGGCCTTGCTTTTTTTTCCTGTCGGGTGTCGGCATGGAAGTTCACCTGTCGCAGGCTGGCCGTTTTCAATGCGGGGGAGGGATCCAGCGCCTGTCTCAGGCTGGCCGTTTTCAATGCGGGGCAGGGATCCAGCACCGACGGTCAGATCGAGGCCCAAGGTTTCGCAACTTCTTGGCCTCCTTCTTGGGCCTACGAAGACTTACAGAGGCCCGAGGGAGTTGACGAGGAGAGGCGGGACAAGGAGGGGATAGGGGCAAAGGAGGCACAGGCGAGAGGGGGAGGAGGTAGAGGGGGAGGGCAAGGAGGGGGCAAGGAAGGGGTGGAGGGAAGAGCAAGAGGAAGAGGAGGAGGAAGAGGTTGGGAATGATGATAAGGAGGTGAAGGAGGAAGAGGAGGAGGAAGAGGAGAAGTGTTCAGAGTGCGTCGGCGAGGAGGGGGGAGAGGATGAGCGGGGAAGACGAGGAAGATCAGGAGGAGGGATGCTGACGAGGAGGCGGGGAGTATGTACGAGGCTGGAGGGGCAGGGTGCAGGAAAGGGAGGGAGGATGGGAAAGCAGGTGGATGAGGGGCAGGATGGATGAGGGGGGAGGAGAGGGAGGACGCGGAGGAATAGGAGGGGAGATCAGGACGAGCAGAGGAAGAGGATGACGAGGAGGAGGAGCAGGAGGAGGAGGAGGAGGAGGAGGAGGAGGAGGAGGAGCAGCAGTTGCAGAACCTCCCTATCCCCCTGATGCGTCGAAGGTATCTAAGAAGGTGGATTGGTGCGCAGAGGGAGACGGAAGAAGAGTAGGGGAAGGAGGAGAAGGGGGGATGGCAGGGGGTGTGAGAAGGAGAAAAGGGGAGCTATTTCCGCCCGACCGCCAGATTCAGGGTCCGCCCGTGTGGGGGGATGCCGGCGGCGCCGTGGCTGACCACGCCACTAGGGGGTCCCTCTCTGGCGCCTCGCGCTTGTGGTGGTGGTCGTGCCGCCTTCCCTTGTCGCTGCCCCTGCCTCGTCCCCCTCTTCTGCCGTCTGCTGCCGCGCGCTCGCCCGGTCGCCGCGGCGGCTGCGAGGTGGCTGGCTTCGCGGCCGCCGTGCCGGCAGCGCGCGACATGCGAGAGGCGGACGCCACGGAGCGAACCCCGCAGATAGCAAGCTGACGGCGCCGAGTCACGACGCCGACGACGACGGTCTCAGACCTCGAACGCATTGAACTTGCCGCGAGAAAGGATCAACCCATCTGCAAGGGTGAGCACCGCAAGTCAGGCGTGACGAGGGAAGGGGACCTCCCTCCATGGGGCCACGAAGCGTGTGTGGGGTGCGCTGGCATGGGCGGGGGGCCCCATGTCGACGCACCCACTGGGGGCGAACCGTGCGAAGGGTGCGCCGAAATGGAGGGGAACCGCTGCTGTCGCAGCCACTTGGGCCTCAGGTGGAGCTCCCTATGGAGCCGCGGGACGTGTGAGGAGTGCGCCGACAAGGGCTGGCAGCCGCATGTGGACGCGCATGCTGGGGCCTTGGGTGGAGCTCCATACCGGGGCAGGAAGCGTGTGAGGCGTGTTCCGGACAGCAGGGAGCCGCATGTGGACGCCATGAGCTGCGCGCACGTGTGGGCCGAATGGTCGAGTGGGCTCCAGCGCCTGCTCGGCAGAACGGCGGCGGCGGCAGAGGTTGGCCGGGCTTCCGAGCATTTCCGGACGGGGTGCCGCTGCCATTTCCCCCCGTGGAGGGCGGGACGCTCGAGGGAGAGGCATGTGGACACCATGCGGCCCCGCCATCGCTGGGAACTTCGGAAGAGCGTGTGAGGGGTGTGCCGACCTGGGCTTGTGGACGCTACGTGGCCCTCCCCTCCTCTCCAGGGGGCTTCGGCGGAGCCCCCGATGGGGCCACGAAGCGTGTGAGGGTTGAGCCGAAGTGAGTTGGGGGACGCTATGTGCCGACCCCCCCTTTCTGGAGGCTTCGGCGGAGCTCTCTGTGGGGCCACGATGCGTGTGAGGGGCGCTCCAAAATGGGAACGCTTGGTGCCCTCCCCCCCCCCTGGTGGCTTCGGTGGCTGTGTGCCGCCTCCCTCTCTGGGGGCTTCGGTGGAGCTCCTATGGGGCCACGAAGCGTGCGAGGGTTGTGCCAGAATAGGCTGCAGGGACGCCATGTTCCCCCCCCAATGGCTTTGGCGGAGCTCCATGTGGGAAACACGTGAGGAGTGTACCAACATCAGCTGCTGGACGCTATGTGGCTTCCCCCTGGTGGCTTCAGAGGAGCCCCTTATGAGGTCATGAAGAAGAGGAAGGAAGGAGGAGGACTCGGGGCGTTGTCTCGAGGACCCAACACCAAAGGATAGTTGGGAGAAAGAATGCAGATTAACTCCGTCGCTTTCGGCATCTAGGGTCCGGTTCCAAGCCCCGGGACTGTCAAACATTGTTCAGGATGACAAGCGACAAGCGAGGCATGGGCAAAGGCTCAGGACTTTGGGAGGCTCCGTGTTGAACTAATCCAATGATCGAGTATATGGGATTGAGGCTTGTGTATGTTTTTCCCACTCGTTTGGGACCTCTGGGGGGCTTCTCGTCTCCACCCCGGGATTCGCCTAGGAATTCAGGCCAGGGCCCACCCGTGGACCCGTCCAGGGGATTATTCTGTAGGAGGACTCTCATGTCTGGCGTCCCGTGCAGCCTCTGGAGGCTTGCTCTGGGCCCACGACCCTGCTAAGTCAGGACCCGGGATTGGAAACGAAAGCAATCCCTGCACGGAGTTGGAGTGGACGGGGCCTAGGACGAGGATGAGTCCGTTCCAGAGCGTTCTGGAACGCTCCCAGAGCGTTCCGGAACGCTCTGAGAAGGTCGCGGCGCCCGAGGCATCCTCCAGAGCTGCTGGCTCTCACAGAGTTTCGATTTACTCTCATCCGATGTGATCCTCGTCCTGGCTTCGTATTAGTGGAGGTCTCCGACGGCCCACGTTATGAAAAGCACGCGACCTTGGGGTAGTTCGAGGAGGAGGAGGAGGAGAAGGAGGAGGAAGAAGAGGAGGAGGAAAAGCAGGAGGAGGAAGAGGAGGAGGAGGAGGAGGAGGAGGAGGAGGAGAAGCAGGAGAAGCAGGAGGAGGAGGCGGAAGAGGAGGAAGAGGAGGAGGAGGAGGAATCCAGTCAAGTGAGGCCAAACGTGGCCCAGGAGCAGGCGCTCCCCGGACAAGTATCCTCGGGCCCACGTCGGGCCGTCCAGTCGTCGGGGCTTGGCGCACGTTGTCTCTGGAGCTGTGGTCCTCGCGACGCCTCACTTGCACGTCGCCCTGGGGGGCGCTGGCGTCCTACCAGAACTTCTGTGCGAACCTGCCGGGATTTCGGCGGACTCTTCGACCAATTGGCAATTCCACGGTCGGCGAGTTGGGGGAATGCGTCGTTCTCGGCCAGGGCCCAGCTGCGCGCAGAGGGGGGCAGGGGGAGGGGGGAAGGCTTCTGATAAGCGCCCCGGCTTCTTAGAAGGCGCGGGTCTTCTCTACAGATGTAAGTCCAGCGCCTTCTCAGAAGCAGTTTCTTTCTAAGAAGCCCTCACCTCTCCCCCTGCCCCCCTCTGCGCGCCGCCAAAGATCTGGGGCCCCGGAGGGGTCCCAAGCACTCGTGATCCCCGCCCTCGTGCTTGCAAGCAGCGCCGACGCCGAGAATTTAGGATCGCGCGCGTGTGCCGCCGCGCCGTTTGTCCCGACGACGACGACGACGACGACGCCGCACGCCTTGGGGATGGCGCCGCGGCCACAAGGGCAAACGCCGCCTCGGGCGCGGCGGGCTTGCCGTGGGTTCGCCGCGGTCTTGGCGTCGTCTCCTTCGACGCGGTCCTTGGGGGCTTGCCGTGGGTGTGCCGTGGTGCCGGCGTCGTCCATCTGGGCGCGTCGAGAACAAACGGTGCGGCGACATGTGTAGGTGGGGGAAGGGGGAGCGACACCACCACCTCCAGCGAGGAGGTCCACAATGCTTCCCCGAGCTGGGGATGCGGGATGTCTCGAGCGAAAGGGGGAGGACCACACCACCAGGGGGAGCCTAGCCTGGCTCCTCCCGCCAGAGGGCCTTAGTGGTGGTGTCGCTTTCCTTTGTTCCTATGTAGGCTGGCTTGGGGCTGAGGCCAGGACCTCCAGCGGACGAGTTGGTTCAATCCTGGCGCTCTCTCTTGCTTTCGGCCTCGGTGGGCTCGGCGCTTCGGGTAATCGGATATTAATCTCGGGAAGAGACGAGGTTGAGACCTCTGAGGCCCGCGGGATGAGGAGGAGGAGGAGGAACAGGATGATGAGGAGGAGGAGGAGAAGGACAAGTGTAAACCCAAGACGTAGTAACGATGTTGGGATACATCCTTCTTCCACCAAGCTCCTTCTTCATAGGCCCATAAAAGGATTCACTTCCACTGAATGAAGTGCTTTGTCGGGAGACATCCGTGTCAAGATCCTGATGCGTGCCTAAACACCACTCTCAGGACATCAACGTCACGAGTCACATTGCTGTTGCGTTTTAGCAGTCCTGAGCGGTGCCAGAACACCCTTCCTGGGATTTCAACAGTGCGAATCAGCCTAACTGTTGCGCCCTGACAATCCTGAATGGTTCAGTCACGCCATGTCTGGAAAGTGTACCATGCGATTCCGCAAAACTTCTGCAATTCGCTAAAACGAAGGTGCGCGGCGCGAAGGCGCGATCCACATTTTGACAATGAACCGTCCTTACTCCGTGAATCTTTTACACATATTGACTGAACTCATGAACCGTCCTTACTCCAATGAATGCACGCGGGGCTGAGGCGAGAGCACATATTGAAAACGACCCGCCCTCAATCCGCGAAGCTCTAGCGCATGTTGAAGACGAGTGTGCGCGGCCCGAAGGCGGGATCCACATTTTGGATACGACCTGCCGTCAATCCGGGACGCTCTTGTAAACTTTGAAAGTGAATGTGCGCGGCCTTAGGCGAGAGCCACATTTCGGAAGCGGGCAACTCTCCATCTGTGAAGTTGTCGCTAGTTTCTAAGATTCAGCCTCATCAGTGGTAAGGAAGTCTCCGGCGAATCGCGCAGCGCGCCCTTCCGATTGGCCTCCGGGTGCGACATGGAGGAGTTATTTAAAGGAACAGGAATGCAGGAGGATGAGGAGGAGGAGAAGGAGGAGAGGAGGGGGAGGGAGACAGGAAGAGAAATATGTCTAGAGGATTGTGACGATAGTGCAGAGGGGAAAAGAAACAGCGAGGGAGACACACGGAACGGAACTGGAGAGAAACATCAGGAGAGGGCCTAGGCGTGGATGGTGGGAGGGAAATAAACATCTAAAAGAGACTCGATCGGGTGCGGAGAACAACGAGCGAGCTATCGAAGGGCAAACTGGGATGTCAGAGAAATATGAGAGGCGAGGCTAGGTCAGGGTGGTGGGAGGGAGAGGAGGGGCCAAACTAAAGGAACACATCTAGAGAGGACTAGTGTGCGAGGAGGCGGGACGGAGACGAAAGGTGATGATGAGGAGAAAATGAGAAACACGAGTAGTTGGAGAAACTATTGATGCAAGGATCGGCAGAAAGGGGATGTTGAGCGAGGAAGGGTGACGATCGCTGGGAGAGAGAGAGAGAGAGAGAGAGAGAGAGAGAAAGAGAGAGAGAGAGAGAACAACAACAACAAACACATAGTGAGACAGAGTGAGAAAAATGGAGAGAGAGAGAGAGAGAGAACACAACAATGGAGTATCACATAAAGAAAGAAGAGGAGGGAGGAGAGAGAAAGGGAGGGAAGTCTAGGTAAGCCCACTGTGGCACGCGCTCCTCCTTTTCCTTCTCCTCCTTCTCCACCCCCAAGCCGGAAACTCCGACTTACAGAGCCACGGATAGTACTCATCATTTTCTTCCCCGGTCCTCTTGACGTGCACGACGTGCTTGCTTGCCCCGAGGAGTGTCCGGCAGAGGAGCACCGAAACACAGATACAAGAGCTCTCCGAGGAGCGCCCCGGACCGCCTGTCGGCAGCGGGGCGCTCCTCGAGGGGCCGGCCCGGCTGGACCGGACAGCTCGCGGGGGCCGATGCAGCGGAACGCCGCGTCTTCCAGCAGGGCCAGACACAAAGAGCCGACGTGCTTTCGGCCTCTGGGGGCCCTCGCTGGGCCCCAGGACCATCAAAGCACGATTCAGGATGAAACACCGGTCCTGGGGAACGTGTCTAGACTTCCAGGGGCCCCGCCTTGAAACAAGTCACGACATCTAATCTTTGGAGCCGTCTTCTTGCCACGCACGGCCATAGGCGAACGTCCAAGGATTGTCGGTAGCTCCAGAACTCCCACAGTGTAGCTGTAGCCAATCGCACCAAGAAGCCATCATGGATATTTATAGACACCTCTCTAGATGTATATATCTATATATTATGCATACTCCTTGATCTGCTGTCGGAACGGATCTGGGAAAAATCGCCGCGAAAGCGCCTGGGTCCACGAGCATTTAGGCCACATGCGGCCAAGGCTCCTCGCCGTCGGGCGTCTGCCTCAACGGGGACCGCGCTCGCGCCCCGGACAAGGAGTTGAGGTCGACGACAGGGGAGGATAATACACGCTAGTTGTTGAAAGTAGGTGTTTTCGGATTGCCAAATATCAATATACTTCAACCGCCTTCCAACTTCAAGACTCGATATGCTTTTGCTGCGTTTTGTTATGCGCTCGGAGGGCCTGAACCCATTCTCCTTTATCCGCCTTCCTATTCCATGCTGTACTTACCTCTTCCGACCGACGAGAAAGTATACATCGGCCACCTCTTCCCCCTTCTTCGCCCCTCTGCTCTGGCCAGAGGACCCGGGAGCTGCCGAGGCGGAATTCAAGATGAAGTCGCTCAGGCTGTTCGGCCAGCTGGTTACAGCAGACGAGGTTGCTTGAACCCCTCCTCTTCCGTCTTTCCTTTGCCCCTCCTCATCCGCTTGCGCGCGTTAAGCACGGTACACTTGGGTCTTGTTGGAAGGTTACGGTACTTCAAGCATGTTGCGATAAACGCCGCTTACATGTTGCATTCGATTCTTTGTAATCTGATACTCGGGGATTTAGAAAGACGCTCGGTATTTCGAGGAGGAAGGAGATGCAGACAATTGGAGCAAGGCACAAGGGTGAGAGAGGCGGGTTTGACAGATATGCCGTTGGCGGGGAATGAAAGGGTATACGGTCAGGAAAATTTGCTCAATGTGCGGCTCCGCCACTTCTGGCCCACCACGCGTCGGTACGACACACTAAGCACACCCTGGTCTCGAATCATCATTGTCCCGAGCTTTGTCCAGCCTCTGGCCCCGCGAAGCGGAGCGACACGCCATCAGCTTACAAGGCATGGCGTGTCGCCGGGGACGCCGCCGCGACACGCTGAGCCAAAGTTCCTGACCGTTTTCCTTTTCTGACATGGGCAAAAAACTTCCCCCCTCCCGGATGGGTCGCACCTGTCCTGTCAGGTCCTGGCATTTCGCGCCACCGTTCCCAGGGGAGACCCCCAGGCGACCCCGATGGACCCCAAAACTAAGCCACGGAGTGTCTGAAGCCGTCCCCAGGCAGCTCCCAGGGGCACCACGAGATTCGCCAGACGCCCCCGAGAGCGCCCCCATGCGTCGCGGAGGGGTCGGGCTCGCCAGGGCTCCGCCTGGAGAGCCGAGATGGATCGCTAGACATTTTCGCGGCACCTCCAGAGGACGGATCCAGCTGTGAGGGCCACTCTGTAAGAACGGTTTTTTGAAGGCAGATCTGCCTTCAAAAAAGAACGGTTCTTTTAGAGGCAGATCTGCCTTCAAAAAATGGTTTTTTGAAGGCAGATTTGCCTTCAAAAAACCGTTCTCACAGAGCAGATCTGCCTTCAAAAAACCGTTCTTCCAGCTGTGAGGGCCACGGGTGCCCGCATTCGGCGACACGCACAAGGGGGTAAGGGCAGGGGGGAAGGCTTCTCGGAAGGAGGCTGCTTCTTAGAAGCCGTTGGCCCTACATCTATAGATAAGGCCCGCGCCTTCTCAGGAGCAGGGGTGCTTCTAAGAAGCCTTCCTCCCTTCCCCCTGCCTCCAACTGCGCGCCGCCAACGAATCGGGGTCCGCGGGGTCCGCGGCAGCCCCGACCCCCTCCGCCCAGAGGGCGGGCTTCTCGCCAACTGGGCCGCGTGGCTCGACGGCCCCTGGGCTGGGCGAGTGCTCACGGAGGCCGGAAGCAGTGGCAGACCACCGTTGATGGTTTCGAAACGTTCCTAAGCCCGTTCACAGTCAACACGCATAGCAAGGATGAGCGACTTTCCAAGGTTACCCTTGTATAGTATTCACAACAGCTGGCGCACGGATGCAACAGTTTGCGGTTTTGGCGCAACCACTGCGCGTGTATGGTAACCGTGCGTTCTTCAACACGCAATCGTCTCCGCCTCGTGCAACAGTTTGCGCTCCCCAGCAAGAGTTGAGAAGCGATAGCTGGCGCCCACGACCCCGCCCCCCAAGTTCGGATTGCAACCATCGCTCAACACGCTGCAGGTCTGGGCCCTGCCTCTCGTCTGCTCGAGGCTTTGGGCAGGGAGGGCTGAGCATACGGGGCTGACAGGGAAGGGGGAAGTGTCGGCCACTCGCAAACGAGGGTAGGGGGAGGGGGGAAGGCATCTGAGAAGCACCCCTGCTTGCCAGAAGGCGCGGGCCTCAGCTACAGATGTAGGGCCAGCGCCGTCCGAGAAACAGCCTCCTCCCAAGACGCCTTCCCCCCTTCCCCTACCCGCTTGTGCGTGCGCGCCGCCAAAGCTGTGGCCGCGTGCAGACGGGTCTAGGTCTGCATCGCCGGTGCATTGGCGATGCGGCCTGGTGGATCCCGTTTTGCTTCTTGCCGACGTCGCCGATACATCGTCGAGGCCGTCGGCCAGCCGTCCAGAGGTAGGGGGCCCTTGTGCGCGCCGCCAAAGGAAGGGGATGCCGTGCGCGCCGCCCGCGAAGGAGTGCGCGCCCAGGGCGCGCGGCCGGCGCGGATCCCCCGCCGCCTCCCCGACGCGGAGGGGAACAGGTCGCTTCCTTACGACGCACAGCTCAGCTGCGAGGGGTCTCGTGGGCCCCTCTCGCCTCTGGCGCCGCGCCCCCCCGCGAGGTCGAGCGCGCCCTCGACGTGGCCCGGGGGGCCGCGGCCGGCGGGGCGGACGCCCCGAAGTTGCTGGGCATGATGCAGCAGGACGCACTCCTGGGGGGGCAGTTGAGTGGACGACGACGGCGACGACGGCGACGACGTTGACGAAGCAGGACGCCCTCCAGGAGGGCAGTTGGGCGGGAGCAGAGTCCTTGCTGCGAGGCACTTGTGGCGTTGCAGCAAGAGCACCTATGACCCTCGGATCCTGGCGCCTCAATCTTTGTCGAGCCGGACGTGTTCGCCCAGTTGCGGGCCCCTGGATCCTCACAGATCGATCCGGCTCGAACAAAAGGCAGCAGAAAGATGGCGCGAGGGCTCGGGCCGTTTTTTGGGGCGATGCTCCATTTTTGTTGGCAGCGTCGGATCTCAGGGAATCGTCGGTGCCTGCAGCGGCGGTTTTGATCACCCGCTGGCCGCCGCAAGCTGTGTCTGTCGAAGGCACGGCTGCCACCTGCGCACTTGCTTGGGCTCTCCTTCTCTCCCCCCCCCCGCCGCAGTTGCAGGGATCCATCGCGGGCGGGGGAAGCCGTCTTCGGGGTATGTCCCATCGTGGCCGCTTCCTTCGCCGTGCCGGATCCTCCGTGGCGCGCGTGCCGGCTTCGACTTGTCGACCCCGCGGTGGCGCCGAGGAATTGCGGGAGTTCAGATGGGCCTGCAGGTTTGCTGGGAATGGGGTCAGTGGTTGATCCCTGGTAGCCTGAGGAAAACGCGTTGAGGTTCTGAGGGGCATGTGTCGGATGAGCGGGGGAGCCCTCGTCTTTGAGAGGCCGCTCGGCCTCTGTATGCAGAGAGGGGACAAAGGAGCCCTGGGAGTGCTTCGTTACACTTATAGCCCATGACTTCCTATCAAGAACAGGGAGCGCCTTTCAGGGGCTGCCGGGCTGCAGGAGCAGCTGAGGAGGATGAAGACGAGAGGGATGATAATGAGCTGGAGTTTGCATACTATGATGATGGTGGCTGCTGGCGGTGCGATTGAAGAAGGTGGAGACGACCCCCCCCCAAAAGTTCGCCTCATGTTCTGTCTCCTTAAGATTCCGCCCTCCCCCTCCACGGGGGGCTCCTTGACACTCTGGCACCCCAGCCGATGACGGCAGTAGTGGCGATAGTGGCTGTGATGTCATAGATCGCAATGACACTGGTCATGAAGTTGGTGATGATGCTGGTAATACATAAGTTGATGATGGAGGTGATGTTTGACCATCAAATCAAGACATCGGACTTCTTGGGTCCTCCGACCTCTGGTGGATTGATGGTTCAATCCGTGACTCCCAGAACCTCGGAGCCACCCCTGTGGCTTGCTCTTCACCCCAACGTCGTTTTTTCGATGGTCTCGAGGCTCACAAATCGACAGAAGCCAAAAACGGATATGAAAAGTTGCTACTTGACTTTTTTCGAGCCGCCGGATGTCTGGGTCCTGGGCGGTCCCCAGAGCCTCGCATAGGTCTCCAGAAGCAGACGGAGGTTCCCAGAGGCTTCCGCATTCCATCAATGCCAGGAAAGTTCAAGAATCTCGATCCTCTACCTCCAGATCGCCCACATGGGGGGGTCCAAGCTGATGGGTCCGAGCTCATCTCCGTCGCATATCTGACACGACCCAGCTTTCACCACATAGTCCACACCGCATAGCATTCACCTCCACCGTGCAACAACGCCCTGTTTGGGATCCACGATGGCTGCTTCCTGCCCACGTCTGCGCAGGACCGCACATTCGGTGGGACCTCCCAGAGGATCACGACATCGCCGACGGCGGTTCAGTTGCAACACTTGGGGCCCGCGTGGGGCCGCACGTGCCCGCGGTGGGGCAGCTGGCGACGCCCAGAGATGGCGCCCTCCCCCCCACGGGCCGGCCCCCAGTTCGCCGAGAGGGCTGGGAGCCACAAGCTGGCCGACCTCGTGGCCGGTCTGCCGCGAGGAGCGCCGCGGGGCGGCGCGGCGCGCGGCGTGCATGCCCCGCCTCCCTCTCGGCCACGCGCAGAGGGGGGTGGGGGGAGGGGGGAGGGCTTCTTAGAAGCAGCCCTGCGTCTTAGCAGGCGGGGGTTTTTTGTCTATAGCTGCACGGCCGGCGCATTCTAAGAAGCATCCTCCTTCCCCCTCCCTCCACCCCCTTGTGCGCGCCGCCAACGCTCCCCGGGATGCGGGGAGGGGGGGGTCCAGAGACGGCCTGGCCCTGGGCGCATCCTGGATTTTGTTGAAGAAGAGACACTAGGGGGGTCCAGCGCAGTTCCAGGAAATACGCGCGGAGCTTCAAAGCGTTTTGCTTGTGCAGTTGTATGCTCTTCTACCTCGGCGCCGGCGGAAGTATAGCGATGGCTGTCTAATCGAGTACAGATATCGCCGCGATTGCGGTGGGCTTCCAGCGACCCCTTCACGAAACCCACCAAGCCTGACGCATCAGGGGTGTAGGGCGACCAAGAAGAAGAAGCACGGCCTTGCCTTGGGTTGCGTTGCAGCTTCGGGTAACCTGTCCTGTCCGACGCATGCCGGGCTTCTTCTTGATCTCCGACATGGGGTCGGCGTTGGTGCGACGTGAGAGCGACACGGATTCGACCTGGGCTCGACGGCGTCGACGACGCGGATTCGACGCGGATTCGACGCGGGTGGCTGGTGCGATAGGACAGACGAGGTCCGCCAAACAATGCAAGACGACGCGGGTCACCACCCACCAAACCACCCCAACCCAACCCGAAGGCTCAGATTTTCCCTCGATTTCTAGTGCATGGGGGGGGGGTCCGGGAACATCGAAAAAACACATATGGAACCCATACCCCCCCCCAACCCGAAATTCGGGTCTTCGGGTTGGGTTGGGGTGGTCTGGTAGGTAGTCAGTGGGCGCAGCCTCGCCTCCGGCGGGCCCCGGCGGAAGACACGCGGAGGAGCGGGTCCGCAAGGCGAGAGAGTCGGAGGAGGGCGAGCGCGGAGGCCACGGCAGTCTGGCCTGCAGGGGGGGGGCGCTCGTCGCCACGGCAGGACGCAGCTCGGAAAATTCCCGGGCGGGGTGCGGAACCGATGGCAAGAGCCGCTGCTCCTGGATCCTGGATCCTCCTCCTCCTCCTCCTCCTCCTCCTCCTCCTCCTCCCCCTCCTCCTCCCCCTCCTCCTCCTCCCCCTCCTCCTCCCCCTCCTCCTCCTCCCCCTCCTCCTCGCAGGACGCAGCTCGGAAAATTCCCGGGCGGGGTGCGGAACCGATGGCAAGCCGCTGTTGCCTGCACACACGCCCGGCTCCGAAGCAGGTCGGCGGGAGGTCGGCGGCAGGCAGCGGCAGTGGCAGCGCAGCATCTTGTGAGCTCAGGGTTTCTGTTTTCGGCCAGGCGGCGCTTGGAGACGCCAAGGTGCCACTGTAGTCGCGGGCGTGGCTATAGTCGGGGGAGAGGTCCTTTTTCGTGGGCCTGACAATCGTGCGCACGTGCCTTCTGTAGTCACGTCCCTCACCCACGGGCGAATTGGTTTTCAGCGCGCGCCCCGACTGTGTATCCCGAAGCCGGCAGCAATGCGTGACGAAGATGCACATGGAAGCGGACCATGCGCACGATCCGTTGGCCGCAGAATCTGGAGATGCATGCAACAGAGCACTTCATCATAGAACTCTCTTCGGGCCCTTCCTTCGGCCAAATGCAGCTCAAGATACGCTGAAGTCGCGACGGATGGTTCTTGTTGCCGTTGACCGTTCCCGAAGGTAGTGCTCCCGTCCGGGACTTTCAAAAAGTGATTCAGGATGGAAAGCACATCCCAGCGAAGTGGTCGAGATTCCCATGGGCCAACGTCACTAATAGAAATGCAACGTCGAAGGAGAGGGCCCAGCTTCCAGACAGTGAATGTCGCTGGGCATCTGGACCCAGACAGTGCAAACATGCAAAACCACGTACGAATACCTTGCTATTCCCGCTCCTCGCGAGAGGTCATGCTGTCCCATCCTTCCTGCTCTTCCCTCGAGATTATTGTCCCTCGAGATATACTTCCCTCCAGATCCTCCTCCTTCCCTCCTCCCTCGCGGATCCCGTCCCCCTTCTACGATGTAAATGACCAGCGTCCCAACTCAATGAAAAGGGGACTCCACGCCGCTGAAACTGACGAAAGAGTACGAGGAAGGGTAGCGAGAACACGACAACGACGACGATGGCGGCGGTGACGACGTCGTCGACGAACACGACGACACCAGCCACTACCCTTGTCCTCCACGTCCATCCTCCCCGCTCTGTCCTTCCTATCTTGCACCTCCCTTCTTATGTTCCTGCCATCTCTTCTTCTCCTCTGTGGACACCGTGCCATCACTCGGGCTTCGGGCGGCCGTTCTGGACGCTCCTGGCACGAACGTTCTTGGCGAGGCGCAGCTGTTGGAAAGCGCCCCGAGCTCGGACAACTTTGGGGCGCCGCCGCGAAATCGTCCGCAACCACAGGAAACTTCGGACCTCGAACGCCAGGCTCCCCTCCTCTGTCTGAGATCCTCTTCCCCCGAGTACGCCAGCATTGCGAGAAGGGCTTGGGGACCTACCGACCGCTACCGTTTGGGCTCCTCGTGCGAGAGGCCTGTGTCAGTGGCAACGTCAGAGGGTGCTAGGCTCAGGGGGGTGCATCGACCCCCAATCGTCCATGCATCGCCGGTGGCGGCCCGACGGCCCGTCCCGTCCAGGAAAATCCTGCTTCGCCATTGGGGGCCTTTCGTCGATCTAGTCATCGGCGATGTGTCGCCGATGCCAGGTCGCTGATTTCCCCCTCTGAGCCTGTCCATCCCCTTGGGCTTTCCCATCATCCTGGCGCGGAGCACGGAGGCTCCATCGCACACAGACTTCGTTCCCTGCATGCAGTCAACCCGCACGGGAAGGATGAGCGACTTTCCAAGGTTACCCTTGCATCGTTCCTCGTCGGCCCATCCTTGGCCGCTTTCGCTGTCCGCGCCCCGCTCGAAAGGTGTCGACATGGCCTTCCAAGGCCCTTGCATCCTTCCCGCGCATCCTATGGTACGGGTTGGCTGTATCGAATGTCGAGTCTGCCCCCGATCCCCTCCTGACTGGTGCCCATCCCCTGCCTCCGAGACCGCGGGTGGCCCGCGAGCAGCCGGCCTTTCCCCATTGTGTCGAGGCTCGGGAGCCTTGCGACGGGGTTCGGTGCAAACGGGGGTCGGCCAGAGCGCCAGATCTGGCAGGATCTGGCAAAGCCAGGAGTGCACTGACCGGGGCTAGCGTCCGGGGCGGCCTAACCGACTCTTAGCAAGCCATCCCCTTCCGTGTGACGTCCCCCTCGCCTCGCCACAAGGCGTATGCGTGCGGCTGGAGGGGAGCTTGAAAGGCGAGAATGACGTCATGGAAGGGGATGCTTCGCAAGGGATGCTTGAGGCCCCGCCCGATAGCATGCAGGACCAGGAAGGTATTGAACATGTGGGAGTGGAGGGGAAGACGAGCATCCAGGAAATATGGAAATCTGGGATCCGTCTCTATCTACTCGTGGGAAGATCTATACGGGAGCCACTGCGGACAATCCTGGGATTGTATCTACGTACTAATTTGGCATCCCAGGAACACGCGCAAATATTGGGAATCCGGTGTTCTGTCTACATTTATTTGCGTGCCCCTGGGCCCCGCACTGGGCTCCGCCGCCCCCGGCCCGATGTCGCAGCAGCCGCCGCGTGCCCCGCGGTGGGTCCGGCTGCGCCACACGCTTGGGGAGCGTTCTGACCCCCGAGCCTCCCGCCCCGTCCTTGCTTTTCTTCGGCCGCGTCCCTACTCCCCCCTCGTGCGTGGTGGCACACTTCGCTCCGACGGCATCCCCGCTTAGGCATCCACCTCCAGCGCAGTCACCCTCTGCCAAGCCGCCGACGCAAAAGGAAGTGTGCCCCCGGGTTTCAGCTCGCTGAGGGGCAGCGAACGCGATCTATGTTTCTGGGGCGACAGAGGAGGAGGCAATGCTCGCAGGGTAAGAGCAAACCTAAGCAGCCCAATCGTTGGTAAGAGGAAACCTAAGCGTTGGTAAGAGGAAACCTAAGGTCCGAACTTGTCGCGAATGGGGTGTCGTAAGATTTGTGATTCGCGGATCAAGAGCGCGCTGGCGGAGCGTATTGGGATCTGGCCCTGGAAACAACGCTGCCCCCCAAGCGGCCTCCAACCCCTGGGCGTCCCCGAGAGGCGCCGCCCCACCGCCGCGGCCGCCTCCGGCCGTGGTGGGCGGCTTCTTCGCGGAGGGCGCGGGCGCGGGCGGTGGCCGGCGGCGCCCCGCGCCCCCGGCCACGCCGCTGGGCCGCGGTGCCCGCCTCGGCCGCGCGGCGCCCCGCCGCGGCGGGCTTCGGACGGAGCTATCCCAGGCATGCTCGCGTCGTTTAATAGGGGGCCACATGCGAACCCTACCCCTACCCCCCTCGATTTCGGAGGGGGAGGGTGGGGTTCACTTCGCTGGGGAGCTTCCGAACGAAGTGAACCCCGCATTCCCCCTCCGAAGTCGTGGGGGGTAGGGGTCGGGTTCGCATGTGGCCTCCTACGACGTGCTCGCGTCGCTGCAACAAATCAGGACGTGGGCCACGCGGGGCCTTCGCCGGGCCCAGGGGCCGTCAAAAAAGGACCCGGGGCGAAGAGCCGGTCCTGCGGAAAGGGTCGGGACTTCCAGGACGCCGTCTTGAAAACATCAGGACGTCGCATGTTCGGAAGAGGACGAGGATACATCCGTTCGGAGCGCGGTCTGAGAAGGCCGCGGCGCCCGAGACATGCTCCAGAGCTGCCAGGCAGAGATCCTCGATTGATCCCCACCAGGAATGTTCCTCGTCCTGGCTTCGTCTTGGGGCTCTCTCCGTGGCGGGCGGGGGTGCGCCGCTGCAGGGGGGCCTCCGCGCCACCGCCTGGCCATTCCGCCCCCGCCTCGGCATCGCTCGGGCGTGTGTGTTTTCTGTTCCTAGCGTCCGAGCGATGGCGAGCCCCTCCACTGCTCATGAGGGCCACTGGTAAGGAGGGACCGGCTCCGAGGTGACGCGTCGATCCCCAATCGCCCATGGATTGTGAGTGGGATCCGCAAGCCCAACCCGCACAGGAGCGTGCGGATACGCTATCGGATGCCTACCGCTGACGCATTGGCGATGTATCGCCGATTCCAGGTCGATGCTTCCCAGCACGAGCTGGTTCCCTGCCTGGCCCTTCCAGGCTCGATGTTCTGTTCGGGCGTTCTCGTCGGCTCCACGAGGTTCTCGAGGCTCGGGGGGCTCTCCAGCAGTTGCGCCTCGCCGGCAGCGTTCCTGGGGGTGCCCGCATCGCCTCCGAAGGGTCGCCGGATGCCCGAGCTCTTGCCCGAGAAACCACCCGGAACCCAGCCTCCACTCGCGTCGAGAAGAAGCCACTGAGGTTTCTTCGGCGGCGAGCGAGGGGGGGGAGGTGAGAGCGAGAAGACCCTCTCAGAAGGCGGCGGGGCTCCTCAGAAGCCCTCCGGCCGTCTGAGAAGCCTCCCGTGCCTCCGGGGAAGGCCCAGAGAACTCCTCGGACGGCGGAGACACTTCCGAGCCCTCGGAGGAGGCCCGCACCCTCCAGAGGAGGCTCCCCCCCGGGCTCGCCGCCGAGCTTTGCCCGCCCCTCGGCACGACTCGGGACGAGCAGCCAGCCCCAGGGAAAAGGGCGGGGCGGCCCGCGCTGCCGAGAGCACGGCGCCGGAGGCGTGCGCTCCAGGCCGCCGCGGGCCCTCTCTTCGTGTGGGGCGGTTCGCAGCGGCCGCTGCTGGTCCGTCACCTTCTTCCTCCTCCTCCTCCTTCTCCTCCTCCTCCTCCTCCTCCTCCTCCCTCCTCCTCCTCCTCCTGCTCCTCCGCATCTCTGCTCCTCCATCTCCTTCTCCTCCTCCTCCTTCTCCTCCTCCTCCTCCTCCTCCTCCTCCTCCTCCTCCTCCTCCTCCTCCTCCTCCTCCTCCTCCTCCTCCCCTTCCTCCTCCTCCTCAGCTCCTCCTCCTGCTCCTGCTCCTCCCCCCCTGGATGTGGCGTCTACCTGGCCGGCCACTTTCGAGTTCTGTTTGAGCCTCGGATCGGTACGTGCCCATGCACGCGCGCGTGCGCTTCGATGGGAGTTGCTATAGCCCCCTTGAGGGGAAACGGGCTCAATACTATCTCGGAGGTGGGGCTGAAGCTGGTGGGTGTTGTCCTTGCACGCTCCATACCTTACGTCTCCCCATGTTTCGCAGCGCGATGTAGTGTTTTTCACACGACAGCGCATGCTTGTACATAGAGAAAGATAGAGGAGAAAGAGAGAGAGAGAGAGAGAGAGAAATTACAACCAACAAGAAAGAGAGAGAGAGAGAGGGAAGAGAGAGAAGGGATATATAGAGAGAGGGAGAGTGTGAGGGAGCGAGAGACGGAGAGAAAAGACAGAAAGAGAGAGGGGGAGAGAGATGCCACGCCCTCGCTCGCCTACTCTTAGATAGGCCCCGAGGATGCTGCGCATTGGTGGCTCGTTCCGTCGCTCGCTCCTGCTCATTCGCCACCTCCTCATCCAATGTGCACAACTCCCCTCTCCGATTGTGGATGACATGGTGGGATCGTTTGGGGGATTCTACCTCCGCAGTGGGACCCGTTGGCGGACAGAGGCAAATCAGCGCTACGGGAAGGTATGGTTGAGAGGAGCAGGACGTCGGATAGAGCGCGAGTGCACCTGGCCTGTCCTCCACCTCCTCTCCTCCTCTCCCCTCTCTCACTCGCTCTGCTGCCCTTTCCCTCCTCCCCTCACTCTGCCGCCCTCTCCCTCTTCCCGGCCTTCCCCCCTCTCCCCCTCACTCTGCTGCCCCTTCCCCGCCCTTCCCCTCCCCCCCTCTCGCCTCTCTCCTTCCCTCCCCGCCGCCCTGCCCCTCCTGCCGCCGCCGCTCCTCCGCCGCGAGGTGCCCTGGGCGCCCCGGCGGCAGAGCTCGCCGAGCCGCCCCGCAAGGTCGGGCGCGCTGCGGCGGCCTGACGCGGCCCCCTGGCCTTAAGTCGGGCGTGTCCCCCTACAGGGGGATTTTCGACGAAAAATGAAAAATACCCCCCAAATGCCCCCCCCAAAAAGGGCAAACAAAAAATTCAAAACATACTCCCCAGACTATTTTTGGATTATTTTTGGATTATTGTTGTTGTATTTTTTGATTTTCGCTGAAAAATCCCCATGTAGGGGGACAGGCCCGACTTAACCCTGGCCGGCTCGAGGGCGGGCGGCCGTCGCCGGCGCCCGCCGCGCGGCTGTGAGGGAGCCGCGCGGCAGAGCCGGGGAAGCGTAAGAGTCGAGGTTGCGGGAGCTCCGGTCTGCCACCGCTGCCTGGCCAGCCCGCCCTGGATCGGGTATATGTATATATATATATATATATATATATATATGCCAAGACCCCAGGTGAGGGGGCCCGGTGAGTAGTAGGGCCCCGCAACGCAGCGCAACGCCCGATCCGCCCAAAGGCCGGTCCTGATTCAGAACGCGGGGATGAGCATGCACAGCGACAGTCCTTGGGAATGCCACCGGGGAGTTTGGAAAACATCGTGGCAGTAGCATCTGTTGTTCGTCTGGCCAGACTACGCCGGCGCAGCCACGCCTGGGGGAGAGAGGGAAGGAAGGGAGGTCTGCCGTAGCTGGTATTTTTTCGGGCGACGGCAGTTCCGGTTAGTGGAACGGGGCGGGGGGCTCATCACTAAACCAGGTCCCACTAAACCCAGTTCTGCCAACGCCCGACTAGATTTGGGCGGTCCAGTGTTCGTGGAGTGTCTGCAGCGGGAGCTCGCGTCGAATTGCAGACCGGGTCTCGTCAGTTTCCTGACAGCCCCCGTCAGGCCAACCCGATTTCCCCGAACCCGGGTCTTACGCATCCTTGAGAGTGGGGGTAGCGTCGGGGCTTCGGATGCCCTCGCCATTGCAAGCGTTGGGGAGCGCCCGATCGCGGGGGGGGGCTCAGCGCGCATCGGGCCGACGCGGGACACATGCGAGGGCAGACTTGGCGCAGGCAAAAGAAAAGGACAGGCCTGTGCAGACTGCAGACCAAGGGGCGGGCACCCTGATCTCCGAACGCTTTGTCCCCGTTCGGTCCCGGAGTTACAGTCGGGGCGCTGAAGAAGGAACCCTTTTCGTTGGGGAGGGGCTCGGTGTTCCTTGATTGTTTCAAAGTTTGCCTCGGGTTTTCCTGAGGTTTTCCATAGGAAATCGAGGTTTAACTTATGGGAACAAGGGGCCTCGTTCCTTATTTAGGGTTCCTCAGGTCAATGCCTCTACTGTATCATGTCGTGTCGGCCTCCGGGTGCAGCTGCTTTGACCCCCTGGGGCCGTAAAAACTTCCCAGGGGGGCGAATGGTCGAGGCCGCTCGGGCCGTGGACAGGACAGAAAGCAGCACCCGGCTGGTGGTCTGGGCACCCAGCCGGTGGGCTGCGGGCGGGATCGGTACCGTTTAGCCGATGCCCATCCTCATCCCCATCCCCTTTCGGGGGTGGACAGAACCCCCAACAGTGATACGTGGATTAGTGAATTGTCCGTCTTCGGTTCTCGAGAGGGCGCCGGGGCCGTCATTTTCCAGGCTTGCGCCCGCCAGGTTTGGGCCTCAGGTCGTTTTCACTAAACCACGTTCTACTAAAGAGGGGTCTGTCCATCCCCGACCCTTCGAGACTCCCACCAACTTACCCCCCCCCCAGTTGGGTGTACACCCTCGAAACCCACAGAGAACGGCCTGTATCCCCACCTCGGGGGGTAAATCGGCCAGTGGGGCCCAGGGCCACGCCGCTGGGGATGGGGGTCTGTTGAGCGATGTTCACTGGAGGATCATCGTTTTGGGGGGGGGGGGGGGCTTCCCTGGGGGCTTCCCGGGGCCCCCAGGTCCAGACCCCGTGGACAAGCCACGACGGGCGTGGCGTTTTTGCAGCGTCTCGGGCGCCGAGGCCCGATGGGATCTGGCTGGGGGACTGCCGCGCAGGGAGGGGTCGGAGGCTCATGCCGTGATTTGCTGCACGACGTTGTGATTTGTCGTCGCGACGTCAGATGTCGGGGTCCCTCTCCCCTCGCGTGCATCCGGAGGCCCAGAGCCTGGAGGTGGGCACCAACATTGATGCCGACGGCCTGGCAGGGGCCCAGGTGATACCACCAACGCCAGTGCAGAGGATAATCCTTCCACCGGTGGAAGTGACTCCCGATGCACATATGTGCCAACTTCTCGGCCTCCGATTGCTCTTCTCCGCCTCCGGGCGGGAGGGGAGGAGGAACAGATTGGGGGGGGGGAGCGGTCGGGAAGGGGAGTGACTTGGCGTTTCTGCTGGACTCCTCCCCTGCCCCGCTCCTGTGTTCAGATCCTTGTTGGGCCAGGCACGGGCACGCAGCCACAGGAGGAATCGGAGAAGGGAGGGCTGGAGTTGGACGCGGGAATGAGGAGGAGGAGGAGGAGGAGGAGGAGGAGGAGGAGGAGGAGGACGTCAAGCAGAATGAAGCGGGGGTGCTGCACAGCATTCTCCCGTCCCAATCCAGTCCTCCAGTCCTCACAGGCCCCTTTGAGTACGCATTTCCAATGCGTTGCGCGCCCCCTTGAAAGATGAGCGATCCGTGGTTGTTCCATTCAATCGGGAGGTCGTCTTTGAATTGGAACAGTCCTGCACCTCCCTTGTTCTTCGTGCTGCGCCAATGTGTAGGTTCTTCTTAGTTGCGCCAATGTGTAGGAGCATCGCGCCCTGGTAGGTGCCAATCCAGAAATCCCCGTCGGCGATGCATCGTCAACGCCGCTGATGCATTGGCGATGCGGAGCCGTCCTCCGACCCCATCTGCTCGGACCCTGCATGGGGACAGCCCGCGGGGACGATCCCTTGGAGAGCTCCGCGGCGTCGTCCAGCTCGGCGCAGCTGCTGTGAGCGCCGTGGCCTGCCAGAAGTCAGGGGGCCAGTCGGACAGGGCTACGGCAAGGGTAAAGCCGTTACAGCGCATCCCAGAACGCCCTCAGAGCTTTCTGGAACGCTCTGAGACGGCCGCGGCGCCCGAGACATTCTCCAGAGCCCCCAGATTTCAGATATTCTCGATTCCGTTCCGCCTGACGGCGGGCAGCCACACCAGTGGACCATCCAGCTTCCCCGTCGCGACGTCGTTCGGGTGCGCGGTCCTTTCTCTGTGCGATCTGACGCATGCGGGCCAGAGGATTCATGAACCTTTCTCAGGGTTTCTTAATACGCGTGGGGGGGACCCCCCCCACGGGGTCAACCTCGCCCCGTCGTCGCGCCGGGACGAGGGTCGGAGCGCCTTCGGCGCGCGGTGGCTGCCCGGGACGGGGGTCGACGTGGGGCTGTCGGCGGGGGTGACGCCTCCCCAACGCTTTTCACAAAACTCGGAGTGTGCCTGGGTCCCTGGAACAAGGAATCCTCGCCCGAGCCCTTCCTCGTCCCCGCCTCGTCCGGCAGTGGGCCTCTCCGCGCGGGTGGGGCACGACAGCGGTCGGCCGGGCCTTCGAGAGCGAGCGGGCCGGGCCGGGCAGGCGGGCCCCCGGCCTCCTTCCTGGCAGCCTCCCCCTCCGCGGCGCGCGCCCCCCGCCGCGGGCGCCCCCGCCGAGGGCGCCCCCGCCCGTCGGGCGCGGCAGGGCCGGCCGCCCGGCCCCCCGCGGGGGAGCCCACGGCGGGCCGCGCGGGGGCCCGGGCCGACGATGCCGCCGCGGGCGCGGGCTGCGACGAGCAGGCCGCGGGGGCCGCCCGATCGGGCGCCCTGCCGCCCCCCGCCCGTCTTTCGAGCAGTGGCGAAGCGTCCTGGCGTGCCCATATAGGCCAACCAAGCAATGTGCTAAGTACCTTTTTCGTGATTCCGTGACTTCCACGACATGTTCTTAGAACAGTTCTGGCTGGGACTGTCTGGTTTCAACACATCTGGTTTATGTTGTAAGAAAATTGTTGTTGTTCTTAGAACTTGTTGGGGTTCGAAGAACATGTCGTGGTGGGCCTATCGGAATGCCGGGACGGTCGGTCCCTGCTCAAGTGAGGGCGGGATGTGATTCTTCCTTTTTTGTTTCTGGATGCCCTTGCTGGGCCTGGGGGCCGTCAAAAGACGGCTCGGGATGAAAAGCTGGTCGCGGGGAACGCGTCACCTCTGAGGGTCGACGTCATGGACAAATGTTGGCGTCGGGGGTCTGGGCCTCTGGGCCACGCGCTCTGGGGCGCGAAGGCCTGGGTCACAATGATGATGGGATGTTTCCCTTTTGTTGCGCCAGCAGAGCGGGAGTCACGGCGGGCCACCAGGGGGAAGTTCGCACGCATATTTTGCAATCTTTGGGTGTGAGGGACACTCCCTCGACGAGGGTCGGTACCAAGCGTTGCAATGTTTCTTGGGAGCGTATTTGCGCCTCTTGGGATATTGGGCGCTCTTAGACGCCAGCTAAGGTATGGGGCACGACGCGCGTGAAGGGTGTGCCGAACTGAGGCTCCAAGGAGCCGTCTCGGGGGCGAGCTGAGCGCCCAACATTCACGTTGTGCGTGAGGGGTGTGCCGTGTGAGAAGTTTTCCGCGTCTTCGGGGAGGGCTCAGAGGACATTTCTCAGAAGGCCGGGGGGCCTCCGAGCCTTCTGTGAAGCCGGGCCCCTTCTCGCTTCCACCCTGGGCTCGCCGCCGACTTACGTTTCCCAGGAGCCTCGAGGCCCGAATCATTACGTTTTGTTCACGTGTCTCAGGAGCCTGAGAGCGCAGATCATTCGTATTTTCGCATGCCCCTTGGCCGTCCTGGGTGGTCGGGAGCTCGGAAAGGCGGTGACGCCAAAATCCGTGAAAAACCCAAGCAAAGCATTGATGTTTGCCTCTTGAGGCCCACCCGGGGTCCTCTTAGAGCTCTCCGGGGCCGTTTCGGGCGCCTCTGGGGCCGTCTTGAAATCTTGCCGCGCTCTTGGCCTGAAGCCTATAGGGCCCGCCCCCTAGTGGGCACCTCCTGAGGGCGCTCCTGGGGCTGGCGAATTTTGGTCCTGCGGGGGCCCTCGCTGGGCCTCGGGACCGCCAAAAACCGACGCAGGGTGAAAAGCCGGTCCCAGGAACTGGATCGAGACCTCCGGGGGTCGAGCGCCCAGGGCGGAGGCGAGCGTTGTGCGCGAGCATGGGCGGCACCAGCAGTTCGCGCCTTTGTGTACGGTACGGTCGGACCGAGGTATAAGATCGAGGTCGATTTGAGGAGGCCACCCTGGTTTGTTGGATCTTCTTGTGTATCTTGGGGCAGGGTGCCCTCGAGTTTCAGTTTGTCCGGCGGAGGGTCTCGTGTTTTTGCAGGATGTTATCCTGTCCTAGGTCCGGCTGTACGGTAGGTTCATGCGGCGATGGCCTGCCCGCGACGCCATCGAAGGCTTTCAAGGCCGACATCCACATGGTAGACCGACGTGGACCCCCCAAGGGGCACGGCACTGCCACAGGACCCGACGGAGTTCAGCCCTGCACGATCGGGGTCGCGATCGATTCGAGGCTGAACGATCGACGCGGCTTCAGGAACCTGTGCTCGCGCCGACGCCGCACGAACCTACCGCAGTCGCCCATCGCCCATGCGGTCGCCGCCCCTGGCATCCGGGCGTCGACGCACGGGGCGACGGGCGCTCTTGCCGTCCGCCTCCGCTTCCGGGGGGCCTGACGTCGGGCTCGCGAGGGGCCCGTGGCCCCAAAGCTGTGCATATAGATTGGTGGACTGTGGCCTCGGGTACGGGAGGGATTTCTGGCCATCCTGGGGGACCATCGCGGCCACACACAGGCGGAACGCAGCTCGAATAGTTGGTCAGGAGGCACCTCTGGAGCCATCGCGGAGGGTTCGGAAGTCCAGAGCGTGGCCAATTCGCTTGGGAGCGGCTCCGGATTACGTGAATCGGGGCAGGAGACTGTTTCACGTGGGAAGAGATCTGATCTTGCTAGCCCTCGGGACTCGCTTCAAGGTGACCCCTTACTCCGCCACCCCATCCTGCTCCAGCTTCACTTCCCCCTCCACGGCATCCTATTGTCCTTCCTCCTTCCCCCCCTTCCCCGTTCGCCCACTGCTGCTCATGCTGCTGCCGCTGCGAATCATACTGCTGTTTCGTTGCTGCCGCTGCTACTCCCCAATGGCGACCTTTCCCCCGCGGCTAGCGGGCGGGAAGCACATCCGTATCCGCGGCCTGGCGGACGGGGCCCCTGGGCCGCGACCGCCCGCGGATACAGGGCGGTTTTTCGTGGATGCCCCGCGCGGAACGTGTCCGTGCGACCGCTCACTTTCGGGATCACGCCCTAGAGTCCAGACCGCGAGGGCGCGGAGCCAGACATTGCGGGACGGGAAAATGACCACAGCCACTGCTTCTTGTTTGCGCCGCCTTCCAACCGGCCGAAAAACAGGCAGTGCTTGTGGTCCTTTCCCTGGCGCCAAGCTCCACGAAAATGACCACAACCACCGCTTTGTTGCTGCGGGCTGGAAGGCGTCAACAAAAGAACACCAGTGGCTGTGGTCGTTTTCACGCCCCGTAGACGTGCTCGCCGCCTGTGACCGTCGGCCCTGCTGGCCCGAGCCGGCCAGTGGCGGCCTCCGGGCCCAGCGGCGCGCCCGCCGGGGCGATGCTCGACTGGGACGAGCTGGACGAGCTGGAGGCGCGGGCGGAGGCGGAGGAGCAGGCCCGGCCGCCGGGCGGAGGAGGAGGAGGAGGAGGAGGAGGAGGAGGAGGAGGAGGAGGAGGAGGGAGGAGGAGGAGGAGGAGGAGGAGGGGGGGGAGATGGAGGAGGAGGAGATGGAGGGGAGGGGGAGGGGGAGGGGGAGGGGAGGAGGAGGAGGAGGAGGAGGAGGAGGAGGAGGAGGAGGAGGAGGAGGAGGAGGAGGAGGAGGAGGAGGAGGAGGAGGAGGAGAAATAATAATAATCATAAGAAGAAGACGAAAACGAAACATAATAATAATATTAAGAATACTAAGAAGAAGGCGAGTAATAATAATAACACGGCACCGAGTAATAGTAATATTAATACGAGGAAGAACAAACTAAGACGACGAATCATATTTTCATAACCTCGAGAATACGAGCAATATTAGCACGACAAAGTATAATAGTATTCGTACTACCAAGAACAATCACAAAAAGACGAAACATATTAATATGATCAGTAATAAGAACAATCAGAATACGAATAACAAATAAAACTACGATGAATCAGAGTAGTAAGAAGAAGAGGAGGAGGAGGAGGTAGAGGAGGAGGAGGAGGAGGAGGAGGAGGAGGAGGAGGAGGCGGAGGAGCAGGCCCGCCAGTTTGGCCCGCCGGGCGGCGGCGGCGGCGTGGACCTGCCAGGCCTGCACGCCGCGGTGGGGCGCGCGGGCCCCTCCGCGCCGTGGGTCGCGGGGCGGCGCGTGTCGGTGGCCGAGAGAAGCAGCGCGGGGACCGTGGCCCAGATGTCGTAGCATCCCTCCTCTCCCTTCCCTCCTCCCCCCTCCGGCCTCCCGCCTCCCGCCTCCCTCCTCACCTCCTCCTCCTCCTCCTCCTCCTCCTCCTCCTCCTCTTCTGCCTCCTCCTCCTCTTCCTTCTCCTCCTCCCTCCTCTCCTCCTCCTCCTCCCTCCTCCTCCTATCCTCGTCTGACACTCCTCCTCCTCCCTCCTCCTTCCTCCTCCTCCTCCTCCTCCTCCTCCTCCTCCTCCTCCTCTGCCACCTCCTCCTCTGCCTCCTCCTCCTCCTCCTCCTCCTCCTCCTCCTCCTCGATGCCGATCTTTGGGTTGTCGTCCACGTCGGGCGTCGCCCACCTCGCGGGGGTGGATCCATGAAGCGGCCCTGACCAAGATTGACGGTGACCAAGATCGACACGGCGCTTCCGTGTTCAGTCTTGGTCTAGGCCTTCTAGATGGGTCCACTTAGAGGGGGTCGGAGGATCGCCCAACATCGCCGATGCATCGGCGATGCGTCTCGATGCGGGGCCGAATTTTCTCCACGACGAGGTCGCCAATGCATCGTCAACGTTGCCAGTGCATGGCCGATGCATCGCCGATGCGGCGAGATCCTCAGACCCCATCTTCTCGGACCCCATATAGGAGACCTCTAATGGCCCCGATGTCGTGGCATCTTGTCGATGCCGATGTTTTTTGGTCGTGGTCCACGTCGGTCGTGGATGGATCCATCAATCTCGAAAAAGAAAAACAACTGCATAAAAATTAACTTTTGGCGGTCCGCGCGGATTTCCTCGATCCGCGCTGGGGCCCCTCTGGCGGCGCCTCCGGCGCCGCCCTTGGCGCACTCCGCGCTCCAGGCAGGGGGTTCCAGCGGTCCTGATCGACGGTGACCAAGATCGACACGGCGCTTCGGCGATCAGTCAAGATCGACACGGTGACCGAGTTCGACGGTGACCAAGATCGACGTTGACCAGGATCGACACGGTGACCAAGATCGACCAAGGCCATCGTCCCCGCCGTGCTCACCACCCACAGGTGGGCAGCGTCGGGGTGGCCGCCGCCGTGCCCGCGGACCGCACGCGCGTGCCGCTGCTGCCCGCCTCCCGCGGCGCGGCCTTCCCGTCGGGCGCGGCGGGCGCGCTTCACGCGCTGAGGCTCGCCACGGGAAGCAGCCGGGCCCCGGGGGAAACGGGTCCGACGGAGGTGTTGCGCCGTGTTCGGGCCCCCGTGGCCCTTCTCTGGTTGTCCCACCGCTGCCCTTCCCCGCTGCCCTTCCCCGCTGCCCTTCTCTGGTTGTCCCACCGCTGGATTCGCCCCGGAGGCCTCGTCGCCACCGCTGGATTCGCCTCGAAGTTCTGGTCAGAACGCACCCTGGGAGAGGTCCAGGAAGCATCGGCATCGGATAACCAAAAAAAGTCAACATTGAGGGTCACGAGGTTTTTCTCCGCCGTCGGGCTCCCGTGTTCCTCTCGGGGCCCCGAGACCGCGACTCGGGGCGAAGGGCTGGCCCTGAGGTGGGGGGTGGGGCCCTGCGGTCCAAGGCCCGTCTCTCTCCAGACCCGCGCCCTTCTTGCCGAGAGGTGGATGATGCAGAAGAGCGAGCTGCGGCAGGACATGTTCCTGCTGGGCGAGGCGGGGCCGGAGCTCCGGCACCTCGTCTACCTGTACTGCGCGCTGCTGGGCAAGGATCGGCGACGCGTGAGAGGACCCCCTCGCCGCAGAGGCCTTTCGTGCGGGCCCACAGGGGCTTTCTCGGCACTGGCGTGCGCACTTGGATTGGGCTTCCCCGCGGACCCCCCTGAAGCCGCGCCCCAAAGGTCATGTTTGCCAAGGGCCGCTTTTGCGTGTAGCCGAAAGGAGCTGGAGTACGTGGCCATCAGCCGTGACACCTCGGAGCCGGACCTGAAGCAGCGGCGCGAGATCATCGGCGGCAGGCTGCAGTACGTGGACCAGCCACCGGTGAGGGCGGCGAAGCTTGGGCGGGTGTTGCTGCTCGAGGGCGTCGAGAAGGCCGAGCGCAATGTGCTCCCCACTCTCAACAACCTCCTGGAAAATCGGGAGATGGCCCTGGAGGACGGGACATTCCTGTCAGCTCCCCGTCGTGCACGCGAGCTGGGCAACGTCGAGGGGCACGTCGCGGTCAGCGAGCGTTTCGAGGTCATCGCGATCGGGCAGCCCTCGCGCGGGAACCCCCTGGACCCGCCGCTGCGGTCCCGCTTCGCGGCCCTGCGCGTCCCGCCCCGCGGGCTCTGTGGGACGCCGGGTGAAGAGCTGCTGCGCCTCGCGCAGTGCATGGCGGGTGTGCCCGAGCCGCCCTTGGGCGCCGCCCGCCAGATCGTGGCCCTGGCGGAGCTCCTGGCGAGCGGGCGGGCGGTCGCCCGCCGGCCCGCAGACCCGGCCGAGGCCGCCTGGCCCGTGCCACTGCCGGCCTCCTCTCTCGGCGCCGTCGTGTCGTTGGCAGCGGTGCTCCCCGCAGCACCCCTCCGGGGCCTTCTGCTGCGAGCGTGCCCCGCTCACCTGCTCCACTCCGCAGGGCAGCGCCTCGGGGCCATCGAGAAGGCCCTGGAGGCCTGCGGCCTTGCACCAGGCGCGCCTCGCGAGCCTGGGCAGCCAGCGGTGGCCTACGACGAGGTGTGGCGCATCGCTAGGCACGACTCCGACCCTCGCGCTTGCATTGTCGAATTCTGCTCGAGGTCCGGTGCCATGAAGTCCGTGCCCGCTGCGGCCCCGTGCGGACCTCGCGGGCCAGCCGTGTGCGTTCCCAGTGATCGGCCGCCGCGGTTGCCTGTGGCGGGGATTCAGCTGACCACCACGCAAAGGGGATCGCTGGCGGCCATGCTGCAGGACCACGCCGCTGGCGTGGACGTGTGCATCTTGGGCGAGCGGGGCGTAGGCAAGTCCGCGCTCGTCCGCGCCTTCTGCGAGCTCCTGGGCTACCAGCCGCACACCCTGTTCTGCTACCAGGACATGCTGTCCAGGGACCTCTTGCAGCGCCGAACCACCGACGCGCACGGCAACACCGCCTGGCAGAACAGTCCATTGTTGCTGGCCGCGATTCGGGGCGAGGTGGCTGTGTTGGACGGCCTGCACAGGCTGGCGCCAGGCCTGCTGTACAGCTCGCTGGGGCGCCTCTTGCGCGACCGGGAGGCGGAGCTGGCCGACGGCTCGCGCTTGGCCTCGCCCGAGCGCTTCGACCGGCTCCTCGCTGAGGGCTTCTCGTCTCAGGACCTGGCAGACCGGCGGATCCAGAGAGTGCACCCGGCGTTCCGGGTCATTGGCATTGCCGAGCTCCCCGAGCCCTCAGGAGTGGGCGCATGGCTGACTGAGGAGGCCTG